TTCATTCTGGAAGCATGGTAACGGACGCGTTGCAGCAGGCAGAATGTCGCAAATTTGGTAGGTTAGCTGTCTGCTCCCAGCAATGCTTTGCTGGTTGCGTTCACGGGTCTCTTGCATCGCTGGAAATGTGGCGCTGAACCTCGTTAGTGGTATTCACAGTTTCTTGTTTCGGAGAGCAACTTTCAAATGTTGACAGTTCAGAAAGAGAGTTGAGGCTTTTGCTTCTAGGTTTTAGGGTTTGGAGTTTTGGGTGTCAAAAATCAGGTTTGAGGTAAATTCAGAAGTTCAGACAGAGTCTTACAAGGCTTGGATGTAAGATTGAGGTGTAGAAGAGTTTGGGTTTTTTTGTTTGGGGCCCAAGAAGGTTAAGGGAGTTAGAGTTTATGTGAAAAGTTTGTAGTTTTTGAGCTTACCTTTTTGGGGTTTCTACGTGTACAAATCCACAATTTATCTTCTTTGCACGTGTTGGTGTCCATCATGGTTGTCTCCAATGTTCTGTCTGTCTGTCCTTGTCTGTGTCTGTCAGCATGCGTAACGGTACAGTTTCACCAGCAGTTTGGCATTGCTGTTGGTCGAGCTCCCAACAAGATAGATGACCTATGTCACAACGTGCCTGCCTCCGGCTTTGAGCATTGCGCACGGCGTAATCTTGCAAGATCCTGCCTCATTGCCTGGTGGCAAATTTACCATGTATGCTGTTTCCTGTCCTGTCAAGTTCTCAGACGATTCCTGGCAGCTAACAAAGTTCCTCGAGTCGGCACGTGATCCTGGGGGGGGGGAAAAAACACGTGCAGTCGATCGTCCGATTGCATATGTTTGTTATATTTTTGGGAGGCATGTGCAGTATTTAACAGTGCTTATTAAGCATTGTTTTTGTACTTTATATACCATGCTTAAATGGACACTATGTTGCTTAATCAAGATGACCAAAGATATCTAAAAATTATTTAAACATCTTTGGAAGCTCTGGGTAAGTCGGGAATAAAGAGAGATATAGATAAGTCGGGTAAGAGACAAGTCGGGTATAAGTCGGGTAAATATAGATAAGTCGGATATAGATAAGTCGGGTATAAGTCGGGTATAAGAGAGGTATAAGTCGGGTATCACGCTAATCTACTTTTCTCGGTGTACTATGCACTTCACTCTGTGTNNCTTCACTCGATGTGCTTACTCTGAAGAGCTCCGCACGGAAGAACCCTTCGCGAAGCTTTCGGGAAAAAGGGTAAGGCTCCTGCTCGAATGCGAACGGGCTTGCTGGCCTTCTGGCACTCTGCTTCAGAATGCTCAGCAACAAGGGTTTAGGGTTTAGAGTTGCATGTGAAACAGTAAGCCATCGATTTTGGAGGTCTGATGACCTTCTGTTGGGGCGACGTTGCACTGGGGCCGGAGTCGTCAAGGCACAGCATTCGTTGAAAAACAGGAAGACAATAAATCTTGCTAAGTCGGTTTAGCGGTCTCGGGTCGATTTGCTTGGCCAGCTGGCCGCATAGTCAAGTTCTAGTGGATACGGGTTTTTTGGGTTCGAAAATGAGCCCGAAAAACATCCTCCGAGGTTGAGAGGAGCTTAGCTTTGCTCCTTCACCAGTCGCAACCGTCCTGATGAATCCACGGATGATTGGAACTGGGCTTGACCTCAGCAGAAACACTGGTCACCTCATCACAGATAGGAACATGGCCGAGGTGCTGCGCAGCGTGCATATGTGGCACAACATAGAGTGCTGATCTCGTGTATGTTTGGGAAGATGAGCGTGAGCCTGCTGCATCAGCGCGAGCTTGGAGCGGTGTCGTAGTGTTGCTTTGTTTTCTTCCATTGCAGACACGCGGGCCGATGCCCGGGCAGCCCTGCGGAATGAAGTCACGGTGGGTTAGTGGCCGCGTGGCAATCCTGCCACGACATGGCTGATCAGAACGGCGGTTGAAGGCCGAAGCACATGTGCTCGGCTTGCCCAAGCCACTTCCTTCGAATGATCGGCTCTGAGAGCGACACTTCCGGGTCACATACACCGGTACCTCACGTGCCCGGCGGCCGGGTCCTGTTGTTTTAGTTCGCTTCAGCACGCCAGCTAAACCACCAGCAGTGAGTGCTATTTGCCCCGGATCCAGCCATTGCACATCATTGCCATCCAGTGCTGCAGCAAAATCACCCAGGCAATAAATCTTGCAGTACTGAGACTTCCAGAGCATTAGCATCGCGACTGAGTACAGCTTCGCAGGCCGCCGCGGTGCCGCGCGGCTTTGCAGCTTCTCTGCACAGACTGCGCCGTCGTCCCAGAAGTTTTTATCACCAGACAGGGTGAGATTGCTCATTTGCTTGAGGATTGTGGGCAGATCAAGTATTGGAAGAACTGGCTATCGACTTTGCAAGATTGTGCTACGTCATCTCAAAGAGGGGATAAAGAAATTCATCACCAAGTATGGAGTCTCTTTGTATGGTCTTAGGTTCTAAGGTGGTTTTGGTTTTGTTTTGCAGTAAGAGCTTGTTTTTGCGCGCACAGAAGCAGGAAAGAAGTTTTAGCAGCAGGAGAGTCAAGTGTTTTTTTCATGTTCTTCATGTCTAAGGCATGTTTGCGAGCATGTTGTCTGCATGAGCTCATATCTGCTTGAATTTGTTGTTTTAGAAGTGCTTGGAGCAGCGCAAGTGGTGAGACGCGACTTTGTCGTGGTCTTTTGATAGTTTGGAGGCTCTGAAGAACAGAGCAGTTATCGCTGATTCACTGATGCGCAGCTTGCTGGTTTGGAACTTGCTTGAAGTGCTTGAGAAGCCAGGGAAGCCGTATAGAAAGTCTACAAGTTACCTTTGCGACCTTGGCTCAAGTCCGCGAGTGTGAGAAAAAGTGTCCGAGTGTCCTGAGCTGAGCTATTTGTTGCTGGCAGAGTTTTGTTTGGTTGTTTGTTGGAAACTGGGAAAACCTGAACAGTGTCAACACTTTTCGCTTCGTCCCCCAGAGATCGGGTTTATGAAAATCGGTGGTCTTGCCTACCAACTGCTGAACAAGACGACTTCCTCCGTTCTCATATTAAGATTCCCGACCTTCACTAGCAGCCAAAAACCAGTGGATATCCGAGCATACGTTTCGCCTCATCTCCGCTTTTCAGAAAACCAAATATACGGACTCGGCTCTCGAGGCAGCCCGAAAAGATAATAAACTCTTCATAGCCCCTTGCAATGCATGATTTGGACATGGCGCTCCGCCGCCTAAAACCTAGGAAAGCTCCACGACCCAACGATACACTTGGCGAAATTTATAAACATGCTCCATGTGTACTCGAGCTCTCTTCTGTCTCACTACAACCAATGCCATAAAGACGCCAAGGTCCCCTCCTCGTGGTTATTCTCCGAAGTTGTTATGATTCTTTTAAAACCTCTCAAAAAACTTTCGCCTCCTCTCATACAAAATTTTAGCCTCCATGTTACAGCATAATCTCAGTATCACTTGGATTCCAGAGTTAGGGATAGACAGTTTGGATTTCGCAACAATCGCTCCACGACCCAACCAATACATGTCATCCGCAGATTGTTGGAAGTCTTCGAGCGACAGAATTCTCCCTTCCATGCGCTGTTTATTGGAGCAAGGCCTTTGACAAAGTTACTTTCACTGCCATTGAGTCAGCCTGGAGCACATGGGTGATCCCCGACATACCAGGAAGGTGGTAATGGCCCTCTATGCTAGCCCCACCCTTTTTGTGAGAGACTCCTCGCAGAACCAAACTAAGGGACTTCGACAGGGTTGCCCTCTCTATTTGTTCGGTTTCGTTTTTACGCATCTCTTTCATGATGTAGAACCTAATAACAAGCGCAAAAACACGTCATATCGAGTCTCCCAGACCGCTACTGCATCCAAATTACTACGCCCCTTGCTCTTTCACGGGTCAATTTCTCCTTCATGGAAGCTTACAGTTTACCGTTCCAGTGGACTCTCCATCCTAATGTACGCCATGGACAGCGTCATACTCACTTCCCTTCAGTTACGGAAATTGGATACAATCCATTGTAAATCTCTGAGGCGCATATTCAAAATTAAATCCTCCTTTTACCACAGGATTTTAGACCCCACCGATGCGCACTGCTCCAACCAATACTTGGCCTCACTGGCATATGGGAGCCGACGTATTCAATCCCCCTCCCAACTCTATTCACAACAACGCTTACAACTCTTTGGGCATATACATCGCCACCCGGAGTCCATAGAGAATCGATGTACATATATGACTTATCACGCTTATCGGCATATTAAAGCACCTAATCGTCCGGGCCGCCCTAAAATACATTGGGCAGAATCTTGCATGGCCCAAGCCGCGCAAAGAATTGATCACCTCATGTCCGATCAAGCGCCCACTCACGACCATATACAACACTCTTGTTTTGATATTCCATCTTCACAGCAAGTACGGCATGCTCACAGAGCTTCCGGCCTAGTATGGATGGACAATACATCACTCTTCCGATATGTCCATCCGCGATGCCAAGATCGAACCTTGCGCGTTTCAAAAAAACTTGGCCGATTGGCAAGGCCTTGCCGAGGTTTTGGCTGCTTTGGCACCGCCATGTCTGCCATGTCAAAACAAAAGCGAATGACGTGGTAAGCAAGATTTCGGATGCTCTCATCCATACACTGTTTTCCACATCCAGTGACAAGCAACAATTTGACAAAGCTGGTTCAACTCAGCAAATTCTCTGGTGCTGACCGGTAAGATTTACAAAGTGCTTTATGCAGCAAGCCTCGCTTCAGGTTAGATTTATAAAAGTTGAACCATGCAAGATTCAGGTTTGGTGCGGGTTGGATGTCCACATGTTTTGAGTTTCCGATTCATCTGGCAGGGCAGTCGCAATTGTGTCATAAGCACATGCAGAGCTGAACCGCCATGCTCACGTATGCTTGATGTTCCAGCAACAGACCCCACAATGCATTTGCCAGTTGCCCGGGTGGGCTTGCAGCGTTGTCTCTGCAGCGTGCTTGCATCAAGCCGCGGAACCTTAGCCCCCGTGTTTACCGGAAGCAATGGTTTACCATTGTGGATGTTTGATCTTGGCTGCATTTGCGGCTATTTCGACAGCTTCATCCGCTGAGGATCGTATGACGATCTGACGTCGAACTCACAGTGCTTGTTTTCGATGCATTTCGGTGAGGAGGAAAGATGCCAAAACGCCAAGCTGGAAACCTACACGCGCAGCCTGCTGCAGCGCAAGCAAATCGCTGGCGAGGTGCAAATTAATTGTCTGCACCTCCAAACTGGAGCTTTCGTTAAATGACCAAGACGGATATGGCATTTTGACAGGTTGCGACAGGTAATTCTGCAATGGTGACGGAAGCTATGACCGAGCTAGTCGACGTGACGAAGCAATTGAAAGGGGAGGCCGCTGATTGTGTTCGGGCTGTAATTCGTGAAGCAATGCAACTACTAGCTGCCTGTCCCTGATGTCTGTTGCAGGTCGAACGACTGCAGGAAGGTGTCCTGCCTCGGTTTGTTTTTTTTGTTTTGTTTTGTCTCCGTTTTTTTGTGAATATAAACTCAGCTCTGACTGTTGGAAGCTTGCGCGGGGCTGGCATCGGTCCGCTAAGGCTTGCAGCGAGAGCACAACGAAGTCCTGCAACCTGCTGGCGGAATACAGCAAAAGCTTTCCATACAATCATTTGTGTCATCACGTATATAGTATATAAGTGATTACGGCATCTAGTTGTCGCACGCAACTGGTATCCATTATACCAATATGTTTTCGCGGTTGAAGAAATTGTGGATCTACTTCGGCATGGAAAACATGTACCTTTTGTGGTCTTGAAATTGCTTGCCTGTGTTGCCTGCCACGCACGGTTCTCACACCTGGGTGCTTCAGCCACCTCGGAAGATTTGCAGAAGCTTGCTGTTTGCTTTGGTTTTCGTTTGCAGCATGCCGACACGGGGTCATGTGACTAAGGACATTGCGTGAGATGCTCTCGTCGACTGGTCCGTCTGCAAAGCCAGGGCCAGCAAGCGGAGCAAAACACGCGGATTTTTGGCAAGATTGGAGCGAAGGTTCGCATTCCAGTCAACCTCCATGCCTTTGCGAAAGGACAAAGGTGCTTTCGAGCTTTGCAAAGTCGAGAACGTGCTGGGGCAGGTTCTTCGTCATAGTTCGCAGGACAACCAGGACTTCGGGGGCTTGAAGCCAATCTTCCTGCGCCAGGTCGCTTCCCAGGCCAATACGTCTCTCCACGATGCCAAGACGAGCTGCAGTGCGACGACAGAGGCACGACAATTTGGGCAGGCATTGTACATCCTCAAGACCTCTCAGGCTGGTATTGAAGCCTCTTGAAATCTGCAGTCCCTGGCAGGTTACTTTGTTTTCGCCGAAGCTTTCCTCGCCGTTTTTCGAGACAGAGTGCTGCCCTGTCGACAAGGAAGCCGAAGTGCAACGTCTTCCGAAGTGCTTCTGTGTCTGCATGTAGAGTTGTATGGACAACTCGCGGGAGCAGGAGCACTGTGCTGGTTGTGCCAAGCAGAACTCCGGGAAGACAGCCTGCGCAATCTGCAGCGGCGGGTTTACCAAGAGTGCCGTGGCGAGCGTGCGATGTTCTTGAGGGGAAAGAAGTGCCAGTAGTGCCGTTTGAGGACCTGCCATGTCAACTGGCTGTTCTGAGGCTCCGGCAAATGTGTGGCATGTGTGGATCTTCCTTCTTGGGTCAACAAGGCAGGGGTTGACATTATGTCTTTCCGAGCAGCTTTGGAAGTGCACACTACGGTCGCACAGACATGCCGGTCGATACGGGAATCAGCTTCGGACAGAATTTGCTGGCACTGCACACGTCCGAGATCCTGGGTTCTACAAACACAACTGCGGGTGGACGGCGGGTGGACGAAAGCATCCTCTTGCCTCTGCAAGGAACCTAAGCACCTGCAACATGTTCCGGGGCCGGGAACGTATTTGCAGGCCGGGCAGAACTGCCACGCTGCGAGCTGCTCTTCTGTGAAGTTCCAAGGCATCTTGGCCCGGTTTTGGGACTTGACCAGGCAGCTTAGTCAAGAACACTGAGCGGTAAACTCAGAAGCCCGCTCCCCAGGCTTCTCTCCGAACGAAGCCTGCTGCAAGTGCGGAGGAGGGCAGAAGGCACATCCTGCTTGCATGCTCAGCATGGTATCTGAATTGAACATCGCCGTTGCGGAATCATCGGGTAGGCTATCGTCCTCATCCTCAACATCATCACACAATGAGCAAGGTGATCAAGCATCGTTTTGATCGATGGCATACTGATCAAGCGACCATGAGCATGCCGGTTTGTCAGGAGCACAACAACGGGTAGGACAATGCTGGATGATGATGATGGTGATAATGAGGACTATGTTGACTACGAGCACTATGTTGAGAATGGTGAGAACAATGAGAATGATGATGGTGACGCTGATGGTCACCATCACCACCAGGTTGCCCTCATCATCGCCATCAGCCATTTCACGATCCCCTTTTGGTCTTCTGTGTCGTCTTCTTTATGTTTCTTAGTTGTCACGAGGTGTAGCCACGAAGGTCGCACGACATGAGACCTAAACCACAAACCAGAATGCATGCACGGTTGGAACCATTCACAGTTAATCATAAAGGGTTCATGATACAGGCTGTTTGTGAATGGTGACCATGTCGACGAATTTTCGTTGTGTGTCGGCTGACGAAGCCGGGAGTCAGAGGTCATATGTTACGGGTTGTGGTCCTGCTCATCACTGAAAATGCACGATCTGAGTGTCATGTGGAAGGCAGCGACAAAATTTGCCTACTATGTGGGTCCCATGGCTGTCGGGGCTACATCAGTGGTTGGTCATCCAGTGCCACGCACAGCGAGCTTCACGGCTGCAATGTAGCAGATGCCATTTAGACACATGCCACGCTTGACGGGCTGCCGTGATCGTGGGGTACGATTTGTTTCGATACAATGTCGCAACAGCTGGATCGAGGGAGTTTTGACTGTCGCAGGAGTCCTAGGGAGGCGATGCAGGTGTGAATTACACCGATCACGATGAGGCCACTATTCTGTGGACAAGGTGTGGGGGACAACTGGGCAAGAAGGGGTGTGAGCTGTCTGGGAGGGAGTGTTTCCGTGATTTTCAGTGCTACCATCCTCTGCCTCTTGCAAAAGGATGCCTTTGCCCGTGAGATGTACTCAGTTCTCTAGTTGTGGTCTTTGGCAACCGTTTCGGACTGCAGCAGGAGTCAGTCGTCAGGCCCAAACCCCAAAGAGTGCATGTTACCGTGATGCGTGAGCCGGGGAGGACTGCGAGCTGGCGAAGTATGGCTTGTCAATCCATCCCACCACGGGCGAGCCACTGCAGCACAGCAGACCTGCCAGGGCTCACGTGTTCAAGAGCATTCGAGAGCGTAGCAAGAGACTGGGATCTCAACCTTAATTTTTTTTGAAATGCATGTATTCCCTGTCACGCAGCGCCTACTAGAGACTGCAGAGTTTGTGATTGAACAGGGTGCTGCGTCAGCGATGAGGAGCGTCGAGAGTCGTTGCATTGCCAAGGCTTTGCAGTTGGACGGCTGTAGCGCAGTTGGCTGTGGTGCCGCAACTGTGGCGCCTTGGAGTGAAGGCATCTGCATGGGTTATGAGACTTTACCATTCAGTAGCTTACTTCGATGTGCCGAGCTCATGCTCAGGAAGTGAAGTGCACTGTCACTGCCGAGAAGGCCGGTACAGCCACTCAATAGTCTGCCTTTTTGGCTTCTTGAGCGCTACTCGAAGAGTTCTGTCATTGATCTCGGCGAATGCTGAGTTTGGGGAAGATGTGGGGGTCACCAGTGTTCCAGGACGGGCTGATGGCAGTAGCCCCCCTCGAGGTCCTGGCTGGAGATGCCACTTGCCAAGTTACATTCCTTCTTCGGTTCTTTCGAGACCGAATAAGCGGATTTTCTCTTGTTCTGCCTAGATCGGCTATGGCAGTGGCCCTGTGGTTCTTCGCGGCTCCACAACGAGCCTGGCGCCTGTTCTGTGGCTCGGCAGGGAATCAGGAATTCCAATGGACGCAGGATCCAGCTCCTCATGGGTGGAGATGTTTTCAGAAAGGCGTATCCGAGAACTGGCTTCCCGGTCATCAGGGCAACGTTGCACTCAAGGATGTCCATTTGTGCCGTCATTGTTGTGCATCGTGTAGCATTGTGCAAACCGCATGCATGTTCAGAACAGCTAAGAGGCCATAAGAGCATTATGCAGCGAGACCAATTCCCGTAAAGGGATGCGAGAAAAAGGTGATATATCTTGACGACCCCTTCGCCGCCAGGAGTCCCACTTCGGGCTCGGGCAGCTTCTCCCAGTTTTCTTGTGTTCCCTCGGCGAGTAGCTTGGATGTGAGATCTGCAGAGCATCAGTTTGAGAGGTAATTCCAGTTTCATCCAAGGCTGGCTGGACCTCGACTCCAGCACCGGGATCCTATCGTTGAAACCCAACACTGCAGTCGATGGCTGGGAGCTTGATGCGCCAGGGACATTTCCATGCCCATTTTGCTGTACGATTTTCCAGCTTGTCTCGCGCCCATGGACATGCGTGCCAAGGCGGTGTGACAGACTCCAAGGGCGCGAAGCTGGGACAAGGTGGTCAATGCTTCCCTGCCAGAGTCGGTGGGGAGCGGTCCGCTGAAGACAGCCGTTCTTTGTGCTCAGGTCGACAGTGTCAATTGCACTTACATGCATATCTGTGCATACGAACAAGACACGAAAAGAGTGCATGCTGCTTTGTAGTGAGCCGTCCTCGTGATCAAACAAAGGTACAGCAACAGTTTGACCTTGCAAAAGATTGAGTGCTCGGGTGTCCTTGTGAATTTCACGGCCAGCCTCTCTGTACCGCCCAAGCTGCATAAGCAACCCAGTACGCCACGTTGCATGTGTGGCCGATTGCCGCTCCCACGAATCCCAGCAGCTTTGGAGTGAGTCCCCAGCCAAGGGGATCAGGACAGGCTGAAAAGTGGTACCTCGGTGAAGAACATGCGCAGCATCACCCCGCCGCTGACGAGACTGCCATTCGCCATCCCAAGGTGCAGGCATGGCACGAGCCATCAGATATGCAAACAGCTCAGCAGCATCATGCTGAGACGTGACCTGTGTCCATTCCAGCAAAAGATTATGCCAGGGCAATGTACGGTACAAGAGCTGTGGCTTAGAGCTGCGCAAAAGTGGAAGACAACCAGATGCTTGCCCATAGGCCTGCGAGGCAGTGGGTCCACAGTGTCCACTCCAGAATCCACCATGAGTCACAGCATTCACATAGCACACGTTGGAGGTATTACGCAGAAAAGCGGATGGAAGCCCACTATAATCACTCTCCATGCAAAGCCAAGTACGCTGCGCAGGTCCCACTTGGGAGGTTCGATCTCCATCATAGCAGAAAAATATGTATATGTATATACACACCTACACATCTGTATAAATTGTATAAATGTGTCAGGTGGAGTCTGCACAGTGCAGAAGGGAACAGCTCCTTGGCACACTTTGCGGAGCTTTGCATTGCGATCCTGAACTAGTTCATCGTCAAGGCGTTCAAGACTTTCCGATGGGGTTGGCAGATTTGTTTCCTTCCCAGTTTGACATAGACAGATGCAGGCATCCCAATGGAGCGCGAAGGAAAACAACACGAAGAACTCGAGCAGAAAGTGATCGGTAGAGAGGGCTCCGGCTGAGGAAGTGAGGGCTCTGCGGAATCGATGTGCTTCGGAGGTTCTTCTTCAAGGTTCCTTGCTCCCTTGACCCCACAGCTTACAATACATCCTGTACTCTGAACCACTAGGCGCACCTTTGAGGCCAAGGGTTCGGTGGTGGTCATTGCACCGGATGCGTGGACATCGATGAGCTACAGAGACTTGGACTCAAGGGCCGTGGGGTGGGATCTGGCACGGGTGGAGGCAGCAGGCAAGGCAGACTGTGCACATGGCGTAGGATAGGAAGGCAAACGGCTCTCCAAGAAATGTGGTGCATCAATCATGCCTCATGCATGAGGCAAAGGCCCCTAGAGTTGTAGATGGTCAGAAAGAGCAGAGGTGAGGTCAAAAGAGTGATTCTAATCTACATTGATGTGGTAGATGTTCTATCACATGCGATATGCTGCATATGCTAGATCATGTTGCCCCGCACGTCGCAAGTTTGTCGAACTCTAGCTTCCAAGGCTACAGCACTTCCGTCCTTTATGCCACGGTTGGAGAGAGATCACCGATTCTGTCGCCAACTGGTAGCAGCGGCCCGGGCCACAGCTGTCGATGCAATGCCTGAAGATGAACATTTTCTAAACAAGGCAGAGCTCGCCAGTGAAGCCATCTAAGCCCAAGCATCGAGTGATATCGTGTGAATACATGTGAATACGCGATTCACTCCCCAGACCTTGAAAGCACAGACTTGGAATGCGGCCGGGATGATGTCCAAAACCGAAAGCTTACCATGTCCTCTAGGACTATACTTTGCCTGGCATGCCAGGTGAAGTGTAAGCGATGTTGTTTTGTTTGGGTGAGAATGCAGACGTGGTAGTCCGTGGTGCTTCTATGTTGAAAAACGGGTGCAGTGCTGAATGTAGTCGCCCTAATAGAAAAGCTGCGAACTCAACTCGTCAAGCCGAAAGCTCAAAGTCGAGGCTTGTTGCCCACCCGGTTCTCCGCTGACTGCTCGGGCTCGAACTTCGTGTTTGACGTGCTGAGCGGCATCGCGACATGGGACGGCCACCAGACCCTGGGCAAAGAAAGGTTTGTTGTCACAGGGTCGAATGATAGCTGATCATGGGGCAGGTGTGGACATCATTCGAGCAAAAAATTTGCTTTCACTAGTGGCGAACACGGCTTTTCGAGTCGAGTTTGCTTCTGTGGTAACAGTGTTAGTAAATGATCATGATCTACGAGAGTAAGTTAGCAATTTCTATGCTTGTTGTCATCAACAGTCTGTTTGATAAGTTCGACTGACTATGCCTACAATGGAGAGGAGCAGATGTATGTCGCAGATGTGTCTGCGAAAGGTGAGAGTCACAGTAGCAAGAGGAGAATTCCTTACTAATGTTTTCGTCATCAAGTCTGTCAACATGTTAACCAGTGTTGTTGCTATTGTTCTTACGGGTACGGCTAGCTTCAATTAGCATTGCGGTGGTCATGGTGGCAGTAAGTCTGTGCTACCAGTATAGTGACGATGATGAGCCGTGGTTTCTCTCCGTCGTTCGTACGCCAGGTAACAATTTGTGCCTGGTCTTTCCGGCATGCTTGGAGTGACCATCAGTTACAGGTGATCAGGTGAACCAGAAACTGTTATCTAGGAAGAGGCTAGCGGCTGGAGCGGCTGCGTCCGTAGCCCGCAGCAACAGAGAAGCCGGACTGTTTCTTCGTTCGGATTCAAGTTGCCGCAAGCACCATTTCTGGCAGGTTGTGTCGTCAATAAGGTTGCTGTCGTCATTCTTACTCATGTGCTTTCTGGTTTTGATGCATGTGATTCACACTCTCCCACACTGCGCTGGCAGAGGTCGTATTATTCGTTGTAATGTTGGCAGTACCGCCCCTTCGTAGGTCTCTGCAGTCGCGGCTCCAAGGATCTTCTCGCTGGATATCTTCACCGGAGACCTCCAGCTGAATCCTGAGGAGACGGCAGGCTGCAAGGTGAAGGTCGCGCATTCCGAGCAGTGGCAGGGGCCGTAGAGGAGTCTACCTTGACGTGCTGTCAGGAGTCCCTGACGAAGTCCTTGGACTCTTCGTCCGCCCCTGGGCTCAATGCACTGCAAGGGAATCGTTGCGAGGTTGCAACCTGTGTTTCTCGACCTGAGCCCTAACCAGCCCTCGTGGAAGGCCACCTCAGTGCGCCGAACAATTTCAACGTCATGCACCATCTTCGGACATTACGAGCAGCTCGGCCTACCAGAACGGGCACTTGGCCGGCCCCGTTTCAGTCTCCATGCTGTCTCCAGCTGCCCTCCATTTTCGGGTCGAGTTGGGCACACGGCCGTGTCCAAGTCACGATCAGGTGGGCTCCGGCGAGCCCGGGTCCCGTCGTGACACACCGGCTCTCCATGGAGTTCCGGGACCGACGGCCTTGTTACAGCTCGTGGGATCATGCTTGAAGTTGCGATCGCGAAAGAAAAACCGCTTTCGTTGGCAGCAAGGCAGTCATGAGCCTCGTCCTCTCTCCGCCGGGGGGTCTCCAGGTTCATCTGCACCTGTGACGTTGGACCAGGACCACACATGCTGGGCTTCCAGGACGCTGGACTTCGCCAGTCGTGCAGACAAGGCGGTATCCTGCTGCAAGGTGTCCAAGTCTTAGACTGATTGCAGCTTTCATGAGCAGGCGCTGCACCGGCATAGAAAATCCTTGCAGATCTGCAAAGCTGAAATAGCCATGCAGCCCAAAGTCTAGGATTCCCTCGATGTGCCGTTCTTTTTGCCGAATTGGCAGGGTGCCAAGTCGTCCACCGACTGTCGAACGCAATGTCGCAGTGCAGCTCGGCCTGCACTCGCGGAGCTTGTCAGACACTTTCAAGGGCTTCATAACGGGCTTGGTCCTGCCAAAGTCCTGATGCTTCAACCGTCTTCCGACGAACTACTACTAAGCTTTGTTTCAGTCCATCCTCGCGTGAGCGCAGAGACATCGGTGTGTTTGGGCGAGGTGTCCGAGTATGTAGGAGTTCGTACATTTTGCGTGTCTAGCCCCAGAAGTCCGAGAAGATGCTATGCCCGCAGGAGACATACTGCAGCTACTATCAGTCGGCAAATGGAAGATGCTACTTCTACAGTGGCCTGGTTGCCAATTGGACACTCCTTGTGCAGTCTTCCTCTTTCGCTTGACGCGCCGGCCGTACTTCTGATTCAGGTGCATTGTGCACGGATTCCGGGGACTTTGGCTGCTACTACAAAAACGCAGCAGTCCCAGACAGATGGCTGTTGGGCAATTGCTAGAGAAGCACCAGGACGGGCCGAGGAGTCCATTGTTATCTGATGGCATGCTGCATTGCCGCAAGCCTTCTGCAAAGCACTGCTTGCCTTCTTTTCGAGAGACCTTGATGGAGCTATGAGCCATCTCTGTTCTTGGTGAACGAGGTGCCCGTCATTGAGCGGTACCCCGGCTGTGGCGAGCGACACGGCTGCTTGCAGCTGGAGCTCCTTGGTTGCGAGCGCCATTGAGCCAGACTGGATCGAAAGCTGTGTGGCAGCCTGAGGTTGCCAGGACATCACTACATCTCCGGATTGTATTGCCCGGGCGGTGATCCTTAGCTGATGAATGTCGATGAACTGGAAGTTGTGGTTTATGGTGGCCCTGGTTGTGACATGAGGTTTGCGCACTCCCACTCGCACACATTCCGGTGACGAGCCGATGCTAAGGAGAATGCTGGAAGTGCTGCGCAGGGGCCGGTGCCAGACTCAGCGAGAGTAGGGGCGTAGCAACGGTAGCCATGACTAATCAACCGATCAGCGTGCCAGTATGATGCCTTGACCTGATAAAGCCCTTGAGGTGTTCTTCAAGAAAGGCCTTACGAAGGAGGCACGCTGTTGCCATACTGTTGGAAAGGTAGTGGCATAGAGGCCGGGGAGGGCCGAACTCGAGCAGATTTGGATCAAGCTCGCGCAGACAGGCGAGAACGAACATCCAATCTCAAGTTTTGTGGTTGTAGGGCCTTGCATCAGGAGAGCTTTTGGCTGATGCGATACGACACGTCACGTGGTGGATGTTCCAACGGTGACTGGGTGATCTACGGGCCAAGACCGCTCGAGGTGCCGGGGTAGGAGGTCATCGGACGGATGTCTGTAGCAATACAGGTGGCCATCTCGAATAGTTTTTGAAGGTGCTGCATGAATCGACACATCAGCTTCTTTCATCCTTCACAGCTCAGTGATTCAGAAGGCGAGATTCAAGCCATAAAGCTCTCAAAACAGTCATGAGACCTGACCTGGCAGAAGAGGATTATGAGAACTCGACCATGGCCTACGTGGAGCTCCACGGGGGTGCGGTGGCCTGTGTCAAGGGCAGCAGCAACGACCTGGTGTCAGACCCTTCGGCAAATCTCTGCTGCGTGTAAGCGCTGGTAAGTCACTGAAGAGTGTGTGTTAGATGCTCTCAGTGTGTCTTGAGGACGTCTTCACTCAGACAAAAGTCGACTTGACAGTGTGCAGCTCAGTAAGCTTAGCCTTGATCCCGCGAGGAGAGTTTGACCATGTTTGGCCTGTTGTGCATCTCACTTTGGGATTTTCTTAAGTCTTAGTGTCTTGCCAGTGTGAGGTCGGGATACTAAGTGTCTCCGGAGCCAATGCCACGGTGTCGGCTCCGGGATGTGTGGCGTGCCCCTGCGGCACTTCTAAACCGTACGCGCTTCGCATGGCTGAGTGAAAGGCTCGGCTGGGGCCGAGGCGAGTTTGTCACAGTTGCAAGCTCAGGCCCAATGTCACTGCGGTGGATAGCGGTGGGGAACAACCTGTGGAAGCTTTGGTGCTTCAGCTGCAAAAACACAGCCTTGGACATCAGACTTTGCCTGTCAGCACCAGCTTCGTCTCCGCTCGAGGTGCTGGATGATCCCTCGACTGACACTCCCGACGACCACTGGCTTCACCCCTGCGAGTGTGTCGCGGGGCTTCAACCTCCCGGTCCATTTCGTGTTGCCGCGTGTTGCCTGCTGTGACACCTACATGTCCTGCTCTCTTGGACTCGGACTTGGGAAGTCTGCCTTTTGTCGGGTCTTTGCATGAGTTCAGGTACCTGCCAAGTGGGGATCTCTGCCTCCAGCCTCTGGTCGCCGCCTGTGGCTGTTTTCCGTCATGATGCAACTGTGTTGGCTGAGCTGGGGCCCATGCGCTTTTTTCAGGTCAGAGTGTCTCCGATATTCCTGCCGGCAGCAACAACGAGTTCATGCCGTCCCCGTCACTGATTGCTGGCGACTTAGAATTGACAGTTCTTACAACTGCATCCAATGTATATGTGGGTTGTAGGTTCACATCCTTTTGGTCCGGGCAGAATCGACGCAGGTGGATGGACAGTTCGTGTGTGCGCAAGAGCCGCTTGGTTGCGACCAGCTGGACTGGTAAAGTAAGTCCGCGAAACAGTGTGACCAAGCATGGACGGACACACCAAAAGAACCAACCTACAACAACAGCGCACCAAGCACGCAGAATCGCTGTCAAGACACTTCGGCCTCTGTGTTGACCGTGGCACAGGGACTTGCCAACAACGCACTGGGCTTGGATGCAACCATGAACCAACACTTGAACGGCAGTTCGGAATCTACCTTCTTTGTGGCTCGGCTAGGAGGATGAGCTTAGCTGAGCTTCAGGACAGGATATTGGGCTACCTTAGGCTGGATTCGCTGGAGGTTGAGTCTGGTCAGGCTGAATGAGGCTCGATTTGGTTCGGTTGGGTCATTTTAGTTCAGGTTCGGTTTGGTCAGACCAGGTTGCGCAAGGTGCGGGTGGGGCCGGTACAGTCGTGACAATCGCCGAAGGCAATTACAATAATTCTTTCAGTGCGATATACTCAAAGGCGATTGCAATATTTCTTTCAAAGAGTACACTCTCAGAGTGCGGTATATTTTTTGCGAAGGCAATCGCCTTCGAGTTTGTTATGGCAATGGAAACTTTTGTGCAATTATAGTTTGTCAAATATACTGTTGTCAGCTTATCAAGAGCAACTTGATTTTCAATCCATCACTCCTCAACCTGTTTTGAAGCAAACACTGCAACCTCCTTTGGCGAGTGCCTTTTTTACAGAGTGTATTTAAAAGCAAAAAACCATGAATGAACTTTTAAAGTGAAATCATGTTGCAGCGTCGACTTCCTCAGTTGTGGCATACCTCAGGACGGTGGGGTTGGGTTTCATTCTTTTGGTGCGTAGATCTTAGAGACGGTGCTGGAATGGACTTGGTCAGGCTTAGTTGTTTTCTTGTGGTCCGATGTTTCTACAGTTCGGGTGCGGCAAGCTTCGATTTTGGTTCGTGAATGGTTCCCAACTTGCCTTTCCGGACAGCTTTCTTCGCAGGGAGGAGTCGGAAACTGGGATTGAGAGAATTGAGGTATCTGACCACTGTTGTCGTCGAGACCGAAACCGATGGTCTGGATGATGCCAACTGCAAGACGCGCTGCGTGTCCCAGGAGTGCGCTTACTACTGGGAAGGCCACTCCTGCAAGCTAGTGTATGCTTTGGAAACCTTTGCGACCTCTACGTTCTTATTGTGCTGGGAGAGGGAAGAATGCGCGTGTGGCTTGTGTTTCCACGCGGGTTGATGGAAGCTTAGCAATCTTATGCGAGATCTCCTGAATCTCAAGACAGCAGCATCAAACCTGGAAGTGGCAGCAACATGCATGGCTCGCAAGTGTCCACACTGTCTCGAGCTTCGGAGCTGCTTGGCAGGCGAGGTCATGTCAACAAAGCAGTGTCGCCTCTACAGCCAATGTGACGAGCTGGCGGGAAGCCCAGCCTTTGTCAAGGAACTGAAGTCTTTGGTACTGCATACAAACTCTGACATTCTCAGGTTCGCGAGGTCGGTGTGGTCGGAAATCTGTTCGGCATGCTGCTCGAAAGCAGATGTTGAGTCGAGGAGTGTCTGATTCTCCGAAGACAGACAGCTTCTGCGGCTTGCTGCCGAGGTCCTACCGGAAATCCTGCAAGGTGGCCGACCCGCAGTTGCGCCCTGGACCGATTACAGGTCCCTTCCCCCTTTTGCAAGCTGCATAGGTTGATGCCCTGCTAGCTGGGGCCTGCGAGCCACGACTCGTGCTGGTGCCTGGGGCCTGCTGCGAGCCCTGCGGCCTAGGTGCTGGAAAGTCACGAAGCGTCGCTCATTTCTTGGGGCCGGTGCAGACTCCTACCAGTGCTTCCACCAGGCAGCAAGCGGAGCGGATTCGGGTCGGAGAGAGTCAGATCTGAAGTGCTGAAACCAGGACCTAGTGGAGCAGTGTGACCAGAAGCTGATGCTGGGGGGTCTTGGCGTCACGGCATGTGGTGGCTGTGAATATGCATCTCGACTTGTACTGGGATCGAAAATGCGTGGTATGCTGCAACACATTCGTGACATGGCTCTACACAACACAGAATGCTGTGGGTGCAGGCAAGCAGCACGTGTGCAGAACATTGCAGGACAGCAATGAGTAGACCAGCGACCTCCGGAGCTCCACCGAGGCTCCGGTGAAGGGCAAACAGATCTTTGCTAACAACGGCAACTGCGTGACTGCAGATGGCAACGATAACCTGCTTCTCAGCAGCGGTTGATCTCCTGAGTGGAGCCCCGTGTTTTTTTGCCGTGTCTTTGCTTTTCATCTGCGGAGCTGTGCCACGAGGAAGGTCGCTGCCTGCAACAACGGAGACAACCAAAAGCACCTCGCCTGCTTGTGGATTTTCGAAGGGAGACGTGGAGAAACCGGAGAACCTTCCTTGGAACTCCTTCAACGGCACTCCTCTACAGTTACTCTACGGTACTTGAAGCTCATGTCTGTGAGGTGGTATTTCGATGGTGAAGCGCTGAAGCCCGAGCACAAGGACGGAACCTGGTGCCTGGGCACAGATGTGTTTCAGAGTTGTCAGAGGTTGCCATTTCTCATGTCCAGGTTTCTGTGGATCCATTTCTGACCTGTCCATGCTGTCTTGTTGCGCTTGCAGCTCGCCATACACTGGGTGGGTCGTCACATCGCATCACTCGAAGTGGGAACGCTTGCCTGGGAAAAGCAGCCATTTGTGCGGACACAAGTTTGTGCACACTTGTATCTTGTCGGGAAAGTACTGGAAGTGCCAATCTCCGCTCATGCGCTGCGTCGTGTCGCTCAATTCCAGGGCCCAGTCGCAGTCTAGGCCAGCTGAGTGCCGAGGGTCCTGCGTCCTTTTCTGCAACTGAAGCTTTTAAAGCAAGAAACGAAAGCCTCGCGCCGGCCTCATGAGCGAAAGTCCAGTACATGAGGCTTTCATGCTCAGGGTTGCACTCCTTACTGTCGCCTCCCTATTTGAGGTGCGTGGACAAGGGATCAAGCTCGGACGTGTATCTTCATCCTTGCCACGGAGGGAGCAACCAGAAGTGGCGACCCGTCCATAGAGCCTAAACAAGTTGATTTATACCTTTGCAGCATCATCTGTATAGTCATATATAAATACACACACACACACACATATATATATATATATAATATACATACATATATACATACATATGTACAAAGTACATGGGCACACAGAGTAACACATTCACGCACCCACCCACCCCACCCACCCACCCACCCACCCACCAACCCACCCACCCACCAACCCACCCACACACACACACACACACACACACACGCACATACACACGAAAGTACATGCATACGTGCATATGTACATACATACATGTGCGTACCTGCGTACATACGTACATACGTACATGCGTACATACATACATGCATACATACATACATACCTAATTACAATTATGTATGTATGTATGTATGTATGTATGTAAGCAAGTAAGTAAGTAAGTATGTATGTATGTATGTATGTATGTATGTATGTATGTATGTATAGTAAACATGTTATCGCCCTATGTATCCGTCATGATTCTGTGCATGCATGTGTCATGTATGCATAGTAGTCTCAGTTTCTCGTTCGATTCGAATCTTAGTTTCGGCGAGCTTTGGTCAGCCGAGCCCTTGGACGCAAGGTACCTTCTCAACGGGCACCTGAGGAGCCGTGACGGAGACGGTTGTATGGACTACTTCATTGGTGGCTCGAAGAATGTGCAGTCCGGCTGCAAAAACTCTGGACACAATACTCGATATGCTGCTTCTCATGTCGTGCATCGTGGGAAAAATCAGTTGAAAAGTCTCAGACAGCATAGGCAACAGTAGAAATGGTTGTGCTGTTTCGAACCATGGCTGCATCTTGTAGGTATGTGGGCAACTGTCCCTGGAGCAACCTCCTGGTTTGGACCTGGCGACAAACAGTGTCTTGAGCGGGAGGGGAATGGAGGGCGAGCTCCAACAAACACGCAGCAGCATGCTCGCGGGGCGTGTTGAGGCTGTGGGCTGCTGTTTCGGGCTTTTTGTAAAGATTGAGTGGAGCTCCGGTTCAAGCTTGAACCCTGCTGAAGAGGCTCACACCGTTTGCGATGATGCTTCTTTCAACACACAGCCCCGAAACCGAGAGCAGTCTCCGTAAGAGCTCTGTTCCCAGCTTCAAGGTGCATGGCGGGCAGAGCATAAAATCTGACTACCAGTACAAGTGCCTCATCCACAACCCTGTCAACCACAACGTGTACATGAGCTGGTGCACTGTAGATTATTCACACCGCTGGTACTGGGATGGCGAGTCTTGGCCAGATGCCGCAGGAGTTAGCGCGGGAAAGGCTTGCTCGATAGGGCCCACGATCTGACTGCGAACGAGGAACGTCTCAAGTCCGAGCTCAGTACCTCGAGGTGTTTGGACAAGTTGCCGGGTTGCAATGAGCAGACCCGTCGGTGAGTGCTTGAACGAAACTGTTGTCATGCTTCTCCCTTGGCTATCCCGTCCGACATCAGCTGAGGTCCGGAAACAACAACCTCTACATGCTGCTTTGCTGAATTGGTGGTTCTCGGCGTGAACGACGCAGTCTTTAAGCCTACTCTCAACATTCTCACGATCGTGAGTGGAGCTCTGCCTCGAGAGCAATCAATCTCGTACTTGTACCTGACCGCATGCTTCCAGGCATACATGCCACAGCGGCCTCAACCAGAAGTGGTACTTCGATGGCAAGCTTCTGAAATCCAGGCTGCCCCTCCGACTCGGATCGGCAATCATCGCCAGGAATGCAAGCGTGCCATTGTAAAGCGTTCGGCTCGTGTTTCCCAGCTAGTGTTTCAAATCTTTGGCTTTCGTGTGATCACTGATCAGATGCCGCAGAACCGCGAAGGGTAAGATGCGTCGAGCTCCGAAAACTCTTGGCTTTGCGTCCTGGGTCGGATTGCCAAGAGATGTACATAGATTCTGGATTGCTGTTCACGGCGGGGCACCCCAGGTTCCCAAGACCCAGACGGGCTGTTCGACTCTTTGGATGTGTGTGCTTGGAACTTGGATTCGGAACTGATGCTCCAGTGGGTTCAACCTGTTGGGTTCGAACTGGTTTCGAACCTGCGTTTGCTATGGGATTCTCCATGTTTGCTGGCAGGCATGATGGGCGGTGCGTGGATTTTTCCCCGGCAGTCGGCAACAATGTCTTCCTCGGAAACTGTCCCTCGGCTCAGAGGCAACGAGGCCGAATGGTTGAGGTCCACGATGGTCCATGCGGAGACGTGGAAACGGTGACATGGGTGTGGCCTCGTTTCTCTTCGGTAATGTCTCCGAGGCCCAGACAGCCCCTACAAGCAACTCGTCATCAAAGGAAAGCCATGGTCGTATCTTGTCGCATGTGGAATCAGCATCGGCACTGGTGAGGCTGTGGAGCTGGGGCCCAGAAGTCCCCAAGCCCATACCGGCGGCACCGCTCACGACCATGTCGGATCGCTTCTCGACCATGCATTTGTCATGCTTCGAGATGTGTGCATCGTCTTTGGTGCGGGATCTGAGACAAGTGCCTGGACATGGCCTGGCAAGCCGGCGGCAAGGAGATCTACATGCACGCCTGCACCAACGGGAGCCTCTTAGTCTGCTGTGTTGTGGAGCTTGGAGGGGACTGCTGAGGAAGGCATCTGCAGGGTTTAGCTGTCGCAGGAACAATCAGAAGTGGTACTTTGACGGGACGTCACTCAAGACTCTCGCGAGCGCTGATCTCTGTGCCGATGTGTCTTGGCTGTTTCTGATGCATCCCAGGACAGGATGCACGACCGAAGAGCAGATTTGCTAAACCTCATAGCGAAGCTATCAAGGGGTATCATGGGATGAGCAGTATCAATCTCAACATTGCCGACCGTCAGTTGGTGGCAGTGCTTGTCCGGACTGATTTGCATGTGTGCGTTGTATATATCGTTAGATAAAGCAGATTAGAAAATTATATCCGGTGTTTTCCCAGGAGCCCGCCGACGGCTCACTCTACGGGCACACCTGCCACGGGAACGACAACCAGCAGTTCTACATGGACGATAAAGAGCGCCTCCTCGAATGTCTGGGATTGCTGTAAGTAATTAAGACTCCGCCCGCAGCTTGCAACCATAAACAGGATTACATGTGTATACGTTTCTGCGGCCCACCCTGGTTTGCTCAACAAAAGATCTCCGTACTGAGTAGTGAGCGCTGAATGGCAGCTCAGGATCAAGAACGAGAAGTGGGACAATGCTAAGTGCGCGGACTATAATCAGGAGAACAACGAGCCTTTTCTGACAATGGAGACACATCTGATTTTTGCGTCGATGCACGCGTTGCGGGCACGACTTGAAGAATATCGCCGAACACAGGACCAAGTGCTGCAAGCAATCACATGACATCGCTTAAGTCGCATTTCGATGCGATTTGGGTTTAGCAGTTCGCAAGCGCAGCTATGACTAGTGGCGGCGGCGAATATGTTAGCCATAGCAGCACTACTTGATTGACACGACTCGTGAGACGTGCAATGTAACAGCAAAGCCTACAACGTTCAAGATCGCTGAAGTAGCGACTGGATGAGCCTTCGTTTGCAGCACCGCATCGTGTGGGCTTAGGATGTCTACATGAACGGCTGCAGTGGTAATGCCAACCAGAAGTTCAACTTCAAGGCGGCACCAATATAACGACGAAGAGAATAGACGGCACGAGACAGACAGTTGGACACAGACATAGACACAGACTTCGCAGTCGATGTCGACATGGTGGGCGGTGTTGTGGAACAGGCCGAAACACAGGCAATGAAGTGTGCATTGCTGCATGGCTACAGACGAACAGCATATCAGGTCCCCATGCGGCTGAAGGATCGTCTGCGCGGTGAGTGCTCCTCGGCAGCTTTCTGAGGCCGCTCTTACAAAGCTGGGATTCGGCCGGAGCTGCGGAGTTGTGTAGGGCGGCGATGTTCGGTCCATGACAAGCTTGCAGAAGGTCTGGAGATGGGGACCAACAAGGAGAGCCTCACGATGACTGCCTGTGTTGTAAACAACGACAGGCAGCTCTTCTTCTTTGACGGACCACAGCTGCTGGGTCTGCATCGACACATCGCCTTCCACCATTCAACAGACATGACAGCCTCTGCCCCTCCGCGAACACTCTCCACTCTCTAGTTCCTTCAGCAAAGCCGTGAATCATGCTTTGCTTCTTCTTGAGTTGCGGGCTTGTGGCGACAAGACGAGAGGTTGAAGTCAGAGCACGACCACAGTCGATGCCTGGAACGCTTTGGGAACGATGAGCTCCAGCTATATTGGACAGGAGTGTTCATGTGTCCTACTCTCATCCCCTGGCAGCAGTTTGATTTGTTCGTTAAATTTTTTGTTCGCCGAGGCATTGAAGATGTGGGCATGCTACGATGGTTACAATGGCCAGAGATGGAAGTGGGATGGTGAACGGTTGAAGGTGCCTCTGCTGGTATATCCTTGTAACGGATTCAGACACATAGCTGATTGTTCTTCAACGTAGCCATGTCCGTGAATATGCATGGCTGTGAGCCAGTCGTGACTAGTACTACTACTTCGGACTCAGAGAGGCTTAAGTGACTCAAGTTTCAGTCAAGCTTCCCTTGCAGTCACTGCTGTGCAGGGAGGGAAGTTCTAAAACCTCATTCTATGACTGTCATGCTTCAGCAGCAAGGTGGAGTCCAGTGGAAAATGCATGGATGTGCCCAGCAGCCGGGCAGTGCCCTGGAGGAAGATACACCATCGCTAAGCTTACTTGTGTTTTGGCCTGTAAAGTGAAAAGATGCCTGTGTATCTGGGCCGACAGAAGAGTTAGGAATATTCGCCGATCCTGTGACGCAGGTTCGTTCGTTTTGGTCAGCTGACAGTCTGTTTCCTGAGCTACCCAGGTTTACGCGCACAATTGCCACGGTGGAAAAAACCAAAAGTTTTACTTTGATTCGGTGGAGATCGGACGGACGATCCGTGCCTGAGCAAAGATGGAATTATGCAGGCTTGAGCTTGAATTTCTGAACTGTGATGATGGAGATGCTGGTGATAGTGCCGAGGACGCAGAAGATGATGATCACAAACATGATGGCCAAAACGACAGGGAGTTTGTTCTTGGTAAGGCTCCAAACGCCCTTTCCCGAACCCCCCCCCCTCCCCACCTCCCCTTAGGGTTTGGGGTTTAAGGGTTTAGCGGAGTCGGGGGGGGGGGGGGGGGGGTGGGGGTGGGGGTTTCTTTTTCTGAAGGGGGGTGCGGGGGCGTGCGAGCGTGAAACAACGACCTGCCCAGAAATTGTATGCTTATGACTACGAACATGGTGTTGATGAGGATCGTGGGGATGAGTGGGGTGTTGATAGTAGTGCTGACAAAATCTTACAAAGATGAAGGTTTGACGTGGGGATGATTTTAGTTTAGATGTCCATGACGATGACGAAGATGGCGTCCAGACTGATGACGATGATGATATGATGAGCTTGTTGATGATGACGGTTGTGAAGGAGAAGAAAATGATCTTATGCTGCCTGCTCGACAGACCTTGAACCTCGCAAGGTTTGATGTCGCTGGTCTGGTTTACATCCCTTTGCACGGGTCCTGTGCGAAGTGTCCGAGGTAGCGATGGCAAGTGCCTGCAGATTGGCAGCAACAGACTAGCATACTGGTGCCGCGACTCAATTGTTAGGATGACGGCAGTGTTCAATTTGCTTAGGTGCTGCAGGCCCGTTGCTTACTGCGGACTTCGTAAGTGGTTAGTGGGTGGACGGACGGAGATGGATTAGGCCGATTTGGGTTGAAGGAGCTGGCTCTGGCTTTGCATGCGATGGATTGATTCCGTGATTCAAGGTCCACTTGCACCCAGGCGGCGAACCAACGCCACCAAACTGCAAGTTGGGGACTCCTGCCTGACAGCCAGTGTCCCCCCTTGACCTGAGGCTTCTACATGGATGGGGAAGCGATCAAGTCCGAGTACATCAATGGGTTTCTCGGCTGGCCTTTGGGAGCAAGATCGTAAGGCCGCAGAATTCTCGCAACAACGTGCAACGTCCCTGGCCTCTTCGAATCTGCTAAGGTGCCTGGACTCGTACAGAAACATCGTGCGTCTTGGTGGAACAGAAAGGCTCAACACCAGCAGCGGCAGCTTTGCTTTTTGCACGGAGCAGAAATCACCAAGGAAGCTTCACGTTAATTGCAACGGGCACTCAAATCAAAGATGGTATTGGTCTGGCGGTCATCTGAAAAGCAAATGGAGGGACGATTGCTTGGATGAAGCTTGGACTCATGCCATTTGCGAATTTCGGGAGTCTTTGGATTTCCGTTTCCACTTCCACGTGCAATGTCGTCGGATTTCGACATTGCATTCTTTGGGAAGCTAGTGCTAAGGTGCAGCCCAGCAACAACACGGCCTTCATGGGAAGCTGTCCGGACTCGGATACTGTGAAGCTCTCTTTCCACAACCTGCTCCATAACAGTGTGCAGCTCACAGTCGGAAACGGGCGGTGCTTGAGCAGAACAGTGGCAGCACCGTGGAAGCGGTTGGGTGTGCGGGAGCGGCGCAGCAGATGCTGGGCTCGAGAAGGTTTGATGAACCTCCCAGACCTTCCCCAAAAGTTCCCGGTAGAGGTAGAAGGAGCTGAGGGGGCTTAGTCCAGCGTCCTCGCGGGGTGGAGCCAAGGATGTGGTACTTCAGTGGGGAGAACTTGAAGACAGAGTTCGACGACAAGTGCATGGACCTGAATGGGGGGGATGGTAACATACATATGTCGAACTGCCACTCTAACAATGACCAGAAGTTTTATTTCGACGGCGAAAACTTGCGCGACCGTCACTTCAACCGCTGCCTGGATCCTTGGTCTGCATTGTCAGGTGGTCCCCACCAGTGAAGGTGAACTCTGACCCGCAGCAGCAGCATGACATGCAGCGGCTCATGTCGCATGAGGGAATCTGCTCGTGGCTTGCGCATGTTCCCAGCTCACATCAGCATGCTCCAGAAATCCAGGAGTATGAAGTGCAAAGCGGCAACGTCTTCAGCGGCACCTGCCCGGATCAAACCAACCACCAGTGGCAGTTTGCATCGCAACTGGCCCTTTGTCTGTTTCTAGAGGAGGATAGTTTCGGATAGTTGAGGCTGGCAGACACCCTCTACAAAGTATTTCGGAGCTTGAAATCAGCAGTACTCACTCTCATAAGGCCCCGATGATGGGAATAAGCATGATCGTGATGATGATGGTGGTGGTGTTGCTGCTGCAGCACCGATGCCATTTTGTGGTTGGGTCATTTCATTATATTTGATTTTGTGGTTGTTATTTTGCTTCTTGTGTGTTGTTCTGGGTCTTGTTTTTGTTATTGTGATTGTTGTCCTTTTTGCTATTTTGTTTTTGATTCATCTTCTTTGCTTCTTCTTCTTCTCGTGGTTGTCGTCGTTGTCCTCATCCTCGTCTTCGTCGTCGTCGTCGTCGTCGTCTAATGACGCAATCCTGATCACGACCGCTGCCAAAATGCAGCAAAGACACTCGTTTTCTTCCTGGTGTTTCAGCAGTAGCAGTTTCCATGACCGGCACTGTGGCATCCTTGCTACAGTTACGGGATGTTACGGGCTGTTCTTCCGATTGCTTCCCGCGCTCCCGATACCAGGCTTTGAAGAAGATGCCGCTGCCCTCTGCTTTCGTCCATGGACAAAGCCTCGAAGCCAAGTGTCCCTTGGTGTGGGTCAAGGTTCAGGATTTCAGGTTTAAAGTTTGCGCTTTCGGGTTTCGGCTTCGGAAATGCTGCAGCTGGAGGGATGCAGGGAACTTCATGGTAGGAGCCGAAGCACCTCGAGTGGGTCATGCCCGGCCCTCGCCACCAGGCTGGTCCGAACGGTTTACAGCCGGAACGCTGAACAGTGCTCCACGGCCGGCACTAAACACTCGCGATTACATTCATTACGTGCAGCTGTCAGCTGAAGAAACTATTTGCCTCTGAATGATTTTGACAAGGCGCTCTCCAGAACCATGTCCTGCGTGGCAGGGGCTTGGATCAACTCCTGGAATTCCCCAGGCGAGTATGCGGCTGGGAGGAGGTTGCTTTTCGAATTTGCTCGGCCGAGCCGCATCCTGCCTCGGTCCCAATGCCCAAAGACTGCTTGCTCTTTGTCAATCGGGATTTTCACCTGTCGCTCTAGTCGTCATGTTTTTCTTGGCGCGATGGGCTTCTGAACGAGTCTTCCCTGCGGCCAGGCCTCGACGGCTTTACCTGCAGCGCGTGCGTGCAGGTCGTCTCCAAAGTGTATGCAGACCTCGATTCTCAGATTCGGCAGGAGCGGGCCGGTGCAAGGAAGATCTGCTGTTTCAGAATTTTTTTATTTTGAGGCTTATGAGGCTTCATAACTTTGACCGCCGAGCAGTCTCGACTTTCTGGCGAAGCAGGAGCTTTTCTTTGCCAGTGGCATGAAGCTGGTGCTCTCCGTGGACACCCGCACACGGCGAACGGTGACTGCTTCGGGTAGCCTGCAGGAAGGCCGAACCATGCCGAACCCGATGTGTCAGAAGTGCGAGGGTCCGATTTTCCCTTACGAGTAGCCAGCGCTAGTACCCGCCTTGATTTCACCGCCACGTGGACCCGCCTCGGCCGTCGTGGCAACTGTGGAGCACAGGTAACTAGGTTGGGAAGCCTGCGAGGCTTCGCGCAGGTTTTGAAGAGTAGTTTTGTCGGCACAGAACAGGCGTCAAGCAGTCTTGTCGCCACAGACTTTCTCAGCGCAAGCCCGACATGTCGCTTGAGCTTCGGCGGCATCAGCCTTCGGACTCAGCAGAAGATACCACAGAGGACTGGCCCCAGGATACAAGGAGCCATATGCAGACCCGAGCAGCCCCGCAGGTGGCACTGCTGACGTCTTCGTGGCTGAACTTATGCCGAACGCTGCCGAAACCGCACGCCGTTACAGGCACAAGTTGAACTCATGGCCGCAGAGGCGAGAGCGAAAGTGCACCTCAGCTGTTCGCCAGTTGCTGTCAGGTCGTTGTCCGAAGAAGGTGCCTTGGCTGCCTGAATGTACATGTTCAGCTCACATGCACTGTCAGGCTGAGTTCGCGGGACGGCATGCTCATAGCCCTTGATTGTATTCCGTCTTCGATGGAGTTGACTGTCTCAAGCACCCCGCCCCTGGTCGATCCGATACTACGTCTTGAGACTGCAGAACGCAGCAGCCCCCATGTCCCGGAACATGATTCCCTCAATGTCTGCCTCCACTTCTTGCCCGATAGCCCCATGTCCTGATAAGGCAAGTGCCTGAGAGCCTTGAATCTCCAGCTCTCTTCCGCAGACTGTGCTGAAGAGGCTGAGGCGGTCGCACGGCAGCGCATGAGACGGCTCGGGCGAACACCTGAATCCTAAACTGAATTGCCTAAGCCGGTCAGTCTGATCCGAGGACGAGATGCTCGAGGCAGGGGAGCTGGGCTCCCTCCTCTGGGACGAGCGGCTCGCCAGGATCCAATCCGAACCCCAAAAGCGTTCCCACGTAGCAGGACCCTCCCACGACGCGCCTGCTTGCGTCCCCGCAGCCTGAAGCGATTAGTTGCAGACTCGCCGGAGCACTTTGCGCTGGCACAGAGCTTGGGTGCCAGGTTCCAAGCTAGTGCCGACGTGCCTGCAGCTTCTGGAGCAGGCCTCTACAATCGCGGAGCCTTGCCTTGGAGGGGGTGTTCGATGCGTGCGATCTGATGCTCCGCACATCTTCCATTCGAAGAGCGGCTTGCTGTCCCGATGGTACTTCTGTCCTTATTAGCCAGAGCTAAGACCTTGCTAAGGCACGGCCCCGACTACTCTGCGGAGTTTCAATGTAGACAAGGATTGCTCGCCACATGTCATGGCGCCTCGGAGGAGTTTTTGGATGGTGTAAACCCTTGCATGCCTCTGTGACCCGAAAGCCGAGTCCACCGTACAGCTCAGCCACAACAGTCTGCTGGGAATGCCTCTTGGTATGCACTTGGTATGCTGCGGTCCAGCATGCCCCCCTGCTCCACTACGGCTTCTGCTCACTTCTGCCTCTGAAGCATGAGATCAGGCTGTGCCAAGGGGGCTGTTTATGGGGTGTTCAAGCAATCAGGACTAGGCATCGGGGAATGTCCCTGACTTGTCCTGATGCGCTTAGACCATTGCCGTGCCTGGCGCCGTCCAGATCACTAGCGTGAGCGAAGGAACTTGCATGAGTGACACAGCTGCAGTGAAAGAATACAATTCAGAGAAGGAGGATCCTGGCAAAGTCCCTCCAAAGCCTCTTCTACAGAGAGACCTGAACTACAGATTACCGTCTCAGGGAAAGGGATATGTAATTCCCCAATACATTCGGGGATGTCATGTTCCGGGAATCGTCAACGGATCGAGTGGAGTCCTGCCTCAGGTATCAATGAGATTATTCCCTGGAAGCTCGTTATTGCGCAAGACAGTCGGTGCACGGACTACCGCCAGGATGGATCGAGGCTCGTCGGCGCTTCGTGTCCTATGCATGGGGTTGCGGAACAGATTCCGACCTGTCATGGCCAGAGTGGGGCTTGAGACGTTGCAGGCACCGGATGTTTCTGGGTTCTCTTGAACCAGCCTGAGGGTGCTACTTGCGGTTACGATGTTGAGAGTCTTTGTGAGTTCGTTGTCTGTACTCTGTGCCAATCCACTCTGAGGAACAACGTCTACATACACTCTTGCCACGGAAACAACAACCAGCAATGGTACATGCTGGATGGCAACATTATATCAATGAGGGACAACAAGTGCGTGGACGCCCACATAAGCACGGGCAACGTCTACATGCACGAATGCCACGATGGCGCAAACCAGAAGTGGTATTTCGACGAAGACACAGGAGCCATTCGAAGCGAATATGACCACCGTTGCCTGGACAAGGGCGCCGACGACAACCTTTACATGCACGATTGCCACAGCGGCGACAACCAGAAGTTCGAGCGTCAGGAGGTATCCTCAGAAGCCTTCATCACGGCTCTCCACCTCGACTGCATCGCTCCTTGCTGAGGCATTGGAGGTCTGTTTTTTTTGGCAAGTGTGCTGTCGGGCTTCTTGGGGCCTTCCTTTTGCGGAGGTGTGAGAAGAATAGCATGTACTCTTCAGCAAAAATGATGCCATCGTAGCGTCTCAGGAAGATGCTGGACAGCGAATCACGGTCGAGCCGGATGGGAGCAATGCTAGGTTTCGTTTGAGGCACGTTTCATGTGTTGATCATGACTCACGGCAAAGACGTCAACATACCCGGCAAAGTCGAAGGAAGCAACAGCCATGAGAGCAGTCTCTTCTCTTGATCCCGGCCTGTCGGAAAGCTCGAGGTGTGATTTATTCAATCCCTATAGTGTTTTTAAGCTCGTAGTGCAGATCTAGGCATTGCCTTCTGCCTCAGGGCCGGCGACCACACGCTCAGCGAGAAGTTCACGTATGATTCCGATACCCAGCCCCTGGGATGCACTGTATTGTGCGCACGTGCTGCCCGTTCCATCCTGCTGCATCAGTCCAGGAAGATTAAAAACGTCGCCAACAACAAGTGCCTGCAAGCACGTGGCCGTGGACGCGTCGACGAAATGGACTGCGCACAGCGCGTCTTGGCAGAGGAGGGAGATCCTTGGCGTGTTCGCGTCGTGGTCAAGAGGTGCGAATTTGCTCTGTCAAGCCGATCTCATCGCTTCGCCTGTTCTCCCCTGCAAATCTTTGTTCTAGTTCCATCTCGGCTGAGGCATCGAGCAAGACTGGACCATTTCGCATGGACTGCCTGGACTTGTCGATGCACCAATAACTTGTCCTGGCGACCAAGCCTCTCGGCTTGAGGGCCAAGACAGTGCACATCTAGAGCATGAGATTCGAGGTCATCAGCTACTTGAAGAAGACGCATGGGCAGGTGCAGTACAAGTGCAGTCACGTCTCGTCTTTGGGAGCCTCTGCCAAGTTGTGCGTGGCCATGCTGGCGACGGCTCGGACGCACAAGGGATTGCAGCAAAACGTAAACAGAGGCAGTTTCAGTGAAACCTGCTGTGGCTCTGGCCGCGCCTTCACGAGTTCTGAAGTGCTGCCACTTGTGCGACTGCACCCGCGGCCATCTACTTCTGCTGCTGCTGCTGCTGCTTCTACCAATGATGCGGATACTTCTGTTCTTATGCATGCACACAAGGTAAGCGAATGCGCATTGCTAAACCTGTCTAGAAGTATCCGGAACAAGGATGACATGTGCAATGTTGCGTTTAAAGTGCTTTTCGAACAGTTTGGCTTGTGGACAACGGTCCACATGATCCGTGATGCCATTGGTTCTGGTGGCGATGATGTGGCAATGACAGAGCAGTTCGAAACGAACAGACGTAAGTCGAGTTCGAGCAATACAGTTAACAGAGGCCCCCCCCCCGCATCATTGAATAGTTGACAGCTTTGGTTGTTGCAGCCTTGGACTACCTCAGGACTACCATGCCCTAAACCAGACTTCACATATTGCGCAGCTCAGCATGTAAGCGAACAGCCTAAGGAATGTGTTCCCCACACTACTCCACTCAAGTTGAGACCAAGACGAACGAGCTCGAGACCATCAAGGTGCTCGAAAGCCAAACATCGCCCACGTTGGCTGTCCGCCGGAATTTGGGATGCGCAGTTTTAAGATGTATGTGAGTGCAGGACACTGGTGTGTGGGCAGCCACTGCTTCATCCCAGATGACCTTTGATAGTTCCTTCCTCATCCAGTGCTGCATCTTCCCGGTGACATGTAGGCTGCCTTAAATCGAAAGTAGTGCCCCCTAAACCCTAAACCCTAAACCCTAAACCCCTTTCTAAAGTGATAGATGGCAGGCCTTGCGCGAGCTCGGCGCCTTCTGCCCACCCGGTGAGGGTCTGAAGACTTTGGAGACCGAGGCTTCGGACAAAGGCCGGTTGGGGGGGGGGCTTTTGTTGGCCGTGTGCATATCGCTGGATTTTCTAGTTTTGGTTGATGGTTTGATTGATTCATGGATTGACAGATTGCTTGAAAGATTGCTTGAATGAGTCGAGTGAATGAAACCTTCCAGCTTCAGGTGCTTGGATCCGTTTCAAGTACGTTGCCTGGCGAAACATCAGGGCAGTTTTCCAATTTCCCCACTGTGCATGTGGCAGCCCGTGTTTCCAAGCGTAGCCCTTTTCATGTTGGGAGGGCTTCTTCCAGTAGCTTGTGGCATGAGTCATGACGAGCACGCTCAGAGCCCTGCCCATCAGGAATGCTGTCAGATCAGCCGCGTGCCGGTGTCGATTTACCCTCTGATGGTTGCTGATGACAAGCGGGACTTCGACATGGACATGGCAGAAGCCTGGGAAGGCAAATGTCTCAAAGGGCTGTAGGGTGCCCACCCAGTCACACATCTACACAGACGCCCTCACCTTCAGGTGTTTACTGCCCGAGTGGCAGTGACAGCAGTGGCCGGTTGGATTTTGCACAGCGGAGGCCAGCAGTTTGCGGTTTTCGTATGGACTGGTCTGCAGTGGGCATCATTGCGCGGAGGAGTTTCAAGCCAGGGCAAACTGCGTCGGGCTCGTTGACTTACGAGCCTTGGCCCTGCATTGTCGATGCTTTGTGCTTGAAGCTCGTTTGGCTGGTTCCTCGCAAGCGTTCTGACCGTCGGCACCGAGGACAAGAATCTCGGCAAATGGTGTGTATCTGGCAAGGGCTGTGCCCAGTCGGATGCCGCCCGGTACTGTAGAGCTCTTTGGGGGAGGTGTTCGAGAGTGTGGTCATGATAGAAGGGGAGATCGCCAGGCTTCATCCTTGCTGTGGGAAGCCACAGTACGCGTCCTCCCATCATGATTTGTTTCTGAGGTTGTCCATCCCTTGGACACCCAATTGCACACCGACAATTGGTGACCGGGCTGCATTGCAAAGTGATGTCCGGCAAGCATGTCCGGGTTCTGTCTGAGCTCTGCTCAGGTATGTGGTGCCCGTCAGCGACTTCGACGCCATCTTCGAGGTTTGTTCCAGGGAGAGCCAGTCCAGTCGAGACCACCGATGGTGGTGGACCCCGTTGCATGTCGCGTGTCGCTGTCGCCAGACCCGAGATATGTTTCGCGTCTCATCAGTTCTTGAACGCTTACAATCAGTTGGACACGCTGTCTTAACTTGGGATGTGCTACCCACCATGTCAGGCCAGGGTACTCCGGCCATTCTTGGTTGTATCTAGGTTTACAAATCGTTCTTGCTGCTCAACTTTTCGCTGAGGGATATCTGGACATCAGTCCTGGTAGTGTTTCGGATGTGTAGGTCTATCTCCCACCAGTCTGGCATTGTGTAATGTAGGAGTTGCTGGCTGCTCTGCTAGCCATTTCAGTGCTCATTTCGGGATTTGTCGCTTCCGCCTTTATTTAGGGATAAAGGCAAGGGAGGTTTGATTGGCTGTTCTCCGGGTTCAGAAACCGCCTCCAATGTTTGGTGGCTCCTTTTTCCTTTCTGTACCGGCTCGAAGTTCCAGAAGTCCCGGGAACCTCGGAGAAAACCCAAAGAGCGCTTGCTCCAAGCTCCCCGGCAGGCTCGTGGCGCGAAGCAGGTGTCGACAACGAAGCGCAAACCCCCTCCGCTCATTAAGCGCCTCGGCTCACTCTGACGGGTGCCACGGTCTCTGGTCAAGGGCAGAAATACCCTCAAAGGCATGAACATGCTTGGAACTTCTATAACAACTTGGCTTTCGAGCACGACGTTAACTTACCCGCTTCTGCCTCCGCGCCGTACTGAGCCCGAACATCCAATCTAGGCCTGGAGCTCCCTTGAAAGGTTCGGCGCCTCCGACCCGGAGTATTTGCCAGAGTGCAAGGAGCTGCACGGCACTGCTTGGGGCTGTGGTTTTGTAGCGCTGCTTCTGCTTCGAAGCGTTTAGCAAGCCCGGTTTACGCACCGGACAAGCATAGCCTTGAGTGTAGTTCTGCATTCTGCATTCTGGGCATGGAGCCGACACATAGAGTGCTGGAGTCTGCGAGAGCTGCTATTATGATTTGGCCTGTCAAACCCGAAGCCGCCATTTGTTCTGGGAGCTTTTGTTTGCCTTTGAGCAGGGGCTTCGTATGCAGCACTCTCCCGATGACTCTGGAGATTTGCTTCCATTGCCTTTCTGAGTGTCGCATTACCGCTCTTTTTTGACGACTGAGGGGCCTCTCATATTGTCTCTCTCTCCTGCACTGTAAGTTGCACATGCTCTCATGGCAACGGAGCATCCAAATTCAGACTTGCCAACGGCAGGACGAGTCGATTCCCGGGGCGCGCAAGTTTACACTGGCCAAGATGAACGCCGAGGCCCAAAATCTGGACGACGAGAATCCATGCAAGTGGCCTCCCATGCAACTACGGTGTGTCAAGCGAATAGTCTCGAGTTGTACACGGCATGTTTTGGAGTGATGCCTAGGTATGTTTACGGCGTGCCTCCGACCAACTCCGACATGGACAATGCTGACGGCTTGACCGGTTGGATCGATGATTTGTGCCTGGATGAGCTTTGAGTTATTGCGTGTTTTAAAGGAGTGTAGGAGCTCCGCAAGGGCGGCTAATTTAGAGGCTTCTGCTGCACGCTGCGCTCGAATTGCAAGCAATGCAGAATCCGCTGCAGATAAGCACATATTCAAGGTAAGAAGAGCGGGCAAACAAGATTGAAGACTGAAACAGCTCATGGCCGTGAGAGGCCTTGGTGTAGTCGCTCGAGTAGTCAAAGAGCCTACGTAGGGATTAATGGACAAGTACCTTCGACAGCCATGAGACTGGGTGACGAGTTGGTCACTGCGAATGCTCTGCTTTTTCCGACATGAGCAAGGGCTGCGGGTGTGTACTACGTACCATTTCATTCTTCCCGAGGGTCGGGAACGTCGGACCTGGTCAAGGAGGAGTGACCTACAAGTCGGTGAAAGAATGCCGGGAGCCACAGTGCCGAGCTCTTGATGATGTTTCAGGGTTTCTGAGTTTAGGGTTTAGGTTTAGTGTGCAGGTTTAAAGGGATGAGGATGGGGAGGATGATTCACAAAAGCTACCGCAGCAAGTCGTTTCTGTTTGCTGTAGGACAGGCAGGGAAGGAGGCCCAGGAAGGGAGAGCTGCAATCAGCCCCTCGTAGTAGGCATGGGAGAAGGAGGAGCAGGAGGAAGAGGAGGAGTGGGAGTAGCAGCTGCAGTAGTAGGCATGAGAGTCGTGTTAGGAGTAGGAGTAGTAAGGAGTAGGTAAGGAGTAGGAGTTGGAGTGCCAGCGGCTGACACCATTGCTCCTGAAGATGAGGCGCAGACCGCGACGACATTCGGGCGCTTCAGATGGCCAAGTGGAGCCAGGTCTGCGCCGTCGAAGACTTCCACTCTAGGACTCTCAGGGCCGAGACAGGGGCCTCTAAGTTCAGGATCTCAGTGCTCGGGTCGAGTTTGAAATGGTTGAAGGCCTGGGATGCTTTCTGGCCCGACTCGAGTGTTTCCAAGAGCCGCCACGAGTCAGGGAAGATCGCTGGGTGTCCTTGCCACGTTGGGTCAGTAATACAAGCTACCTTTCAGAGAGCCTTGACCCAGAATCTTTAGTGCTTTCCTGTATTGCGCCTCGGCTAGCTTTCACAGAAGCCCTGCCAGTCTCACAACTACCACAGCATCGGCTTCGGCTTCGTGAAGGAGCCTGGGTGGGGCGTGGGCCTGTACCACCGCCGTTCCATCTCCGTGACGAAGCTGTGAAGCCAGGACTTGTGGGATGTCTATGCCGATGGCATGCCCGAAGTTGAGGCGGCTGCCGGAAGCAACTGTGGAGCTAGCCTTTTGCATGTCGGTAAGTAAAAAAAACAGGCAAGTACATGAGTACGAAAGTAAGCAAGCAAGCAGCCAAGCAAGCTGGCAGGCAATCTGGCAAGCAAATGCAAGCAACTGTGCAGTCTGACTCTTTCCCCGTGAATCCGTCGTTCCAGCTGCCCGGGCCTCTCCTCTCCTCTCCTTTCACTCAACCCACCCACGCACGCACTCACTCACTCTCTGCCCCCGTCCTTTTCTCCACGGCCAGGCTGCGCCACTGGGCGCCGGATTCGAATTTCAGCCTGGCAACGTCATGGCCGCCTACGGTGCCGGGCCTGGCATCGAGAGACCATGACGTCGACATCTTCCAAAGGATCGAGTCCAGAGCCTTTCGCATTTCGGCGTGGTGTTGCCATTTGGTCAGCGAGGTGCAAGATTGCGTGAAACCAGCCGATGAGGTGCCCTCTACTGGGGTTTGCTTCAGATGGGCGAGGACATCAGGCTGCAGAAGCCGCGTGGTCGCAAGCGGAACGTGTCAACTTCCGTGGCTGTGAGGGGCTGCGGGCGAGAATGAACACTTTGGCATCACATGAGAACCTCCCCGCAGCTATGTGAGAGTTGCTCTACACCTTCCTCTTTGGCTGTAGACAAGCAGTGCATTTTAATATTTTGGATGCAGGTTTAGGACCTCCTTTGTTTAAACAGGCGTTCATTGCACTACGGCGAAGCCTTTACGAGTTGCATCACCAGTGTTGCACACACTTAAGCCTCAAGCAGCCTTACGTCCTTCCTCATTTCAGGGAAGAGTTGACCTGCACGAAGGAATGAGATGCACTTCGAGGAGGCTGGTTTTGGTGACTGCAATCCTCTTCAGTCGCTCGGCAATGGCGCGCTCTACTTTAGGTGCTCCTCGTTTGACTGATGCATCATTTCTGGTTTTCGTAGTGACATTTCGCTTCGATGATCTTGGGGACTCCCTCAGCAGCTGCATGTCGGCAGCGGTGTATTCTTTTGATTGCGGCGCTGTTTTTCAAGCCTGTGTCAAGCTCTTTCCAAGCCCTGATCACGACGACCGCCCTAAGCGCACTTGAACATGTGCTTCTTGCAGACGCGAGCTAGCAGACCGAATCTTTTGTTGAACAACTGCTATGCTGATGCAAGGCACGGCTTCGCCCGGACCTTTTGCGACCTGCACTGCATCCGCGATGCTGTGCGAAGCTGGGCCTGTTTACGGAATTGCACGGAACAGGAATTGATGGACGAAACGGGGTTTAGCCCTTGTAAGTTTGCCTCTGTGCCGCAGCTGATGTCGCTGCAGGAAAGGGCGATGATGCCATCCTAAGAGCGGTGGAAGAAGCGGTTGAAATCATCGGCAAGAACACGCAGATCCTCCTTGAGCACTACGCCGCCATACGGCATTGAAGGGCTTTGAGCAGGTCAATCATATCCGGAATCTCGGAATCCTTACTGTAGAGTCTGTAGCGAGTATCTCAGCATATCTCAGCAAACTGAAGCAAGCTTCGAAAGGATTCATCTGCAATTCGGTTCCTGCTGGGATATCGTATGATATGGCGTCCAGCTACATGCGAAACCTCTAGAGGCAGATGTACTCCCAGGTTGGGGGCGAGTCTGGATCACTGGTCCAGGAGGCAGATCCGGTCCTGCTATATTCGAAGGCGCCTTCGGCGACGTGTTTGATTCCCATGCCAGGGCACTGACATCCGCCGCGGCCTGGCAGCTCAGCTCGCAGAGCTCATGGCCACGGCCCAGGAGGCGAGGGCAAAAGCGAGAAGTGGGAGTGCAGGCGATCTCCGCCTCCCTGCCAGGCCGCCCTGCAGCCACGCGCCTCCCAGGCGGCTGAGCGTGCCGTGCGGAGCTTCGCGGGGCGCTGGCGAAGCGTTGAAGGCCCGCTGTCCGCTTGAGATCGTGCAGAGTGCAGTGTCCGTGTGGTGACATGTGGGTAACCTCACCTGTGACCATGTGCCTCAGTGCCTGCCTTCGCAGGTGGCAACGCTTCGGAGAGCTTAGCCTCGCTGAAGGCCATGGCCAAGGATGCCTCGGAGCTCCACGCGACGGCCTTCCCCCCAGCATCGGCTCGGCTGCAGCTGCTTTTGTGGCTGCTGGCAGAAGTGTGGCTTCCGCTGGCCCAATCTGAGGTAATGCTGGTCAAAGGCCAGAGGCTCTCCCAAGTTGAGGAGGTGCAGCGGAACGCCCTGGAAACGGCGTCTCGAACGAACGACTTCCTCAAGGCCCTTTCTAAGGATGATTTCAATGCCACTAATCAGTGCTGGCTGTCAGATACAAGATAATATCTTCAAGTAGCTGATCCAGAAACACTCCGCCATGAGCCGAAAACTCTTGTGACTCTAGACTGGACAGGCGAAAGTCCATGACCTTGGCCGTTACTACCAGACGGCCAGACGGGGCAAGATGGTGCAACGCTGGTTCAAGCAGCACTGGCAGAACAAGTTACGAGGATAATATGTTGCACCTGCAGCTCATTGAAGATATCGATGTGGTGCGCTGGTTGCGCGGATGTGCATTCTGCACCCAGGTTTTCAATGCTGGATGAGTTTCAGGACCTGAGTCTTGCCCAAGCCATGCAGACCTTTGACACCTCTTGGTGGGAGATCCGTCGGGAGCTGGACGCGCACCTGGGCAGAAGGAAGCCACCAGCGTCCCACTCGAGAGGTCCCGATAAAACAAACCCCGGGGGCTAGGGCCCCGACAACCCGGAGCCTGACGAGGTACCTTGATGCGGCGACCGAGCAAGCGCGTGCCATGAGCTCTGCCGTGGATGCCCTGAGAGGCCAGAGCTCCGCGATTCGCTAAGTAGCCTAGCTTCTGCTTTTCGGACCTCTCGGTGCTGTAGGAACAGTTGAATATCTGAGGTGTTCCGACAAGTCCTCGATTTGTGAAACGCTTGCAAAACTTGTTATGAGGATACACCGGGAAATGCCAGACAAGCTTCGAGCAGCTGAAGAACTCCTACGCTGCGTCGGTGCGGGCAGAGAAGTCGCTTGGCGTGGCAAAGCACGAGCGAAGGCAACCCTACGAGCCTCCTCCTTGCGTGTGGCAGAGCTTCACATATCCTTGTCCTTACATGCAATGCTGTGGAATCCTATCGGCTTGACCACAGACCAGGAAGGCCCATGCTGTGCTAAAGAAGACATGGTCCGACGTGGTTTTCCAGGCCGAAGATGGGGGACAAATGTGCTTGTGAGAAGTGGGTACTGCTTTGGGTTTTTGGCACCCTGTGCCGGTGAAAGTCTTTTGTGGGCTGTTGGACAGCATGCAGGCACTCCCAAATCCAGTCAGTAGGTCCCGAACCCTCCTCGAGAAGCCGAGGCCCTAAATGCCTAGACTCTTAGACCCTGCAGGCAGGGCTGATGGCATCAAAGATTACTGATGCCGGATTGCTGGATCGGCTTGCGTTGGCAGACATCAAGGACCGGCCAGACTCTGTTCCGGGTCCAGGGGCTGACGCTTACCGCGGGCTGCTCAATACGTCAGTCGACCTGCGTGCTATTAAGTAAGAACTTAAGTATCTGAGCACTCAGCATCGTAGGGACGCTGCTGAACTATGATTACTTCTCGTCCCGTACTCGCCACATGCCGCTGGTCAACGCTTTCCAGAAGCACCTTATAAACGGCAAAAGAGTCGCATAAGACAACGAACCTCCACAAGTCTGTGGCGGGCTACTGCAGTCCCTTGCTGCAGTCGGCAAAGAGGACAAACTGCCTGCGGTTTGATTGGGGTTCAGGGTGGAGTGTATTGAAACGTGGCTACAACATGTTCAAAGTGACCGACTGCACAGTCGGAGAAGGTACTTGTAAGACAACACACGATGCCCAACAAGCTCTCAGGCATCCAAGCAGCCCACCGTGGACAAGGCCTGTCCCTGCTTCCTAGATGGTGCATCCCTAAAGTGCGAGAAGCCACAAAACAACCTGAACTGCAATCCTAAATGCAACACCTCGAATCCCGCGTATTTGATTTTCTTATCCTTCATTCTGCCTCCAGGCGGCTTCTTCCACACTCCAAAAGCTGGAAACCCAAAGTTACCGCAAGAAGGGCATCTTTGGTAGCATCGGAGGCGCAGCTGCCCGGGTTCTGCAGCGGCAGCGATGCTGCAGCCTTGAAGCTCATGCATGCCCACCTGGCTGAGGCAGAGAGCTGCAGTAGATGCGACAAAGGTATTTCCGAGTCCCTATATCTCTCGCTGTGTTGATTCGTATGTTTCTGAGTTTCTTATCTCACCTTTTTGTCTACCTGCTTAGCTATCTAGCTACATGTCTACCTACCAACCTACCTACCTATCCAGCTGTCTGATCTATCTGTCCATTTTATCTATCTATCTATCTGTCCATCCTGCCTATCGATGTACTTAACTCTCGATCTGTCGAGCGATCCACCGATTTTTTTGTCGGTGCATCTATTCATAGGTCTGTCTGTCTGTCTACCTGCCTGCCTGCCTGCCTGTCTGTCTGTCTGCCGACCCACCTACCTATCCATCTGTCTATGTGTTTGTGTGCTTGCCTGCCTTTCCCTCTATCTGTCCAGCTATCTAGCCATCTACCTGCCCACAGTATGTCTTTCTGCCTGTCTGTCTGTCTATTGTCTTTCTAATCCATCCATCCATCCATCCATACATCTATCTGTCTACCTTTCTGCCTATTTGCATATCTACCTGTCTACCTATCTACCTGTCGAGATGCATATCTGCCTCTCTATGCATCTACGTATCTACCCATCCACCTGCCTGTCTGTCTGCCTATCTCTCTATCAATCTGTCTATCAATCTGTCTGTCTGTCTGTCTGTCTGTCGTGTCCAACTATCTATCTATCTGTCTACTTTGTGCATCTACACATTGGTGGCACAGCTGGTGTATATTCACTAGAATGGAATGGGGCAGCCAGACAGGCGAGGCAGTATAGAAGTCCAGCTTAGATCGTGAATTTAAGTCAGCATGCCCTGCCACTCCTGCCCGTGACCGCGCCTGCCACACGCCTACCCCCCCTGCCAACATAGAAGACTGGAATAAGTCACTGCGACAGAAGAAAGAAATGCACCTACCTACCTACCTACCTACCTACCTACCTACCTACCTACCTACCTACCTACCTACCTGCCCACCCACCTACCTACCTACCTACCTACCTACCTACCTACCTACCTACCTACCTACCCTGCCTACCTACCTACCCACCCACCCACCCACCGACCTACCTACCTGCCTACGTAGCTACCGGATATCCATCTATGTTGGCCATACTCTGATGATGATGAGGAGGAGGAGGAAGATACTGAAAAGAAACATCAGGATATCAAAAGTAATTCTGAGCTTGGTAAGTCATATGGTCGCAGAGCCGACCCCAGCTCCCTTCCCCCCGCCAACGCTCCTCCTCCCGAGAGGTGTTGGCAATGCGGACCAGTTCGGTGAGGCTTTCGAATCCTGGCTCGGGGCTCATTCCAAACGGAAGGGGTCACTTGCAGGGACTCTTCGGATTTAATACACGCACTGTCGGAAATGCACGTCCGTCCGAGGAGCTAGCCAACAGGTTACCTTACCTTGAGCAGCTACCATTTAACGTTCGGGCTTGCACGAAACCTTGCATGGAAAGGGCTGGGTGACACATCCCCAGGTCAAACTCCTAATTTCAACCCCTAAAGCCTGAACCCGAAACCCTAAACCCCCTAAACCTCGGCCAGGCCCGTCCCAGCCCATGCCACCTGGACCCTCATCTAAGAGAAAAAAAAAAGCAAGCCGAGGCCATGCCTGGGTTTTAGGGGTTTAGGGTATTTAGGGTTTATAGGGTTTATAGGGTTTAGGGCTTATAGGGTTTAGGGCTTGTAGGGTTTAGGGTGTAAGGTATTTGGGACTTTCCGAAAATTGGGGTACCGTATTTTGGGGTGCTTATAATAAGGATCCGACTATTTAGGGTACTATAGTAGGGTCCCCTATTTTTGGAAACCCCCATTTGATGTCACTCTGTTTTCTCATTACGTTTCATTCTCCGTCAGCAAAGGGGAGAACAAGTGTTCTACGTTTATCATTGTTGTTTAAATCTATATTCTTCTACTTTTAGCATTACTATTCTTCGCATGCTTATTAGTATTCTTGTTCGTCTCAGTATGAAACTGATTGCCTTACTGTTGTAATTCCTGCTTTGGGCTTTAAGTTTTCAGAACCCGGGCCCGTCCTCGAGGGAGCTCGCCGGTGTCGGCTCCTGGGAGCCGGCGCCTCAGGAAGTCCTCGTGCTCCTGCTTGGGGCTTTAGGGCTTTAGGGGTTTTGAGGGGTTTAGGGAGTTTAGGGGTTTAGGGGTTCAGGGCTTTGGGGCTTAGGGTTTCAGGGGTCTAGTTGGATTTACTACATGGGTAGTTCGGGCTGTTTGGAGGTTGCTTTTTTTAAATAAAAGGGTGCCGTACTATTTTGGTGACGTAAAAAGGGATCCTAACTTGCAGAACTACCCACATGAACACTGTGTTAGAGACTTTAAGACAACCTCAAAGCGACAGTATTTTAGGAAGAGAGTGCTAAGGAGATATTGTTAATTATGCGAAGCCCTGTATTATCTCTGAAGGGTTGCTGTTTTTCGATGTTTGTTTATTCCCTAGGTGCTCGAAGTTTTTTCGTCTTGGGTCATTGCACAACCCTTTCAGCAGCCAACCCTTCGATTTTCAAGCGTGAAGTTTTGCACTTGGGTTGTCGACTTCTAGAATCTTCTGGAGCTATCGTTGCAGGTTGCAGTTTTGTGGTGCATGGATCAGTCATCTTCCGCCAGTGCATGTCTCCTGCTTGAAGCTTTCGTATTCCTGGCGAAGCTCCTGAAGAGAAGAGCAGCAGTCGACGGAAAGCTGAAACTTTGAGCAAGAAACAGCTATCTCGGCCGCACATTCCCTGTGGCGCATCCAGGTCCTCCAACTCGGCTTGGACGGCATTCCTGATTGCAGGGAAGAAAACCTTAAGGACGAAATGAACCCTAAAAAGGGTTTAGGGTTCATATACCATATAGGGATTCAGAATATAAGGTTATAGGGCCCCTACTTTTAAGGGTCATTTCGTCCTTAAGGAACTCAGAAAACTGCGTCTATGCCTACGCGTAAACTCAGGCTTTGCGGTGACACACCCCCTGCCCTGCGTCAAGTCCGAACTCTGTGCCCTGACACTCTCCAGAACCTGGATGTTGAGTTAACCCGCTATGATCTAGGCCAGGCTCTTTTGCTTTTCAAACTCAGCTCCCTGTTCTAGCCCTCGCACGGCGTCATCGAGCTGCTCCTGGCAAGGAATCGAGGAATGGCATCCAAAGGTTGTTCTTGTCTTTAAGGGGCAATTGTTGGTTTCGTGTGTGCCACGCAAGTAGGTTGAACATTCCCAACCCAAGCGACCAGGAACTTGGGACATGTAAAGCCCACCATGAGCTCGCAAAACTTGAGCAACTAGTTTCAACCGTCTGAACTCCTTGAATTGATCGGCAGGAGTCCCTCCTAACTCGTTTAGCAACCGGCTGGACCGCCGAACATCCGGAGAGCACGAACTTCCGCTGACAGCTCATTCTTTCCCTGGGGCCCCGCGCTCTGCAGGTTTGCCAATGACGGGTGGTGCGATCCAACTGCTCCTGCTTGATGCGGCAATTTTCCTGCGGCAGGGTTGCGGGCGGGGTTACAGGGTGTGTAGTGCCCTTCTGGGAACTCATCTACTCAGCGTGAGCCTCCTCTTCGGCAGCGTTTGGGGGGCCAGGGCTGAGAATAGAGGATTTGGGCTCTTCGGTGCTTGGTGTTCGCAGGCCCGCCTCAAGCACAGCCTCCTTGGCCGCAAAGTCTTCCCGCTCGTCTTTCAGCTGAACTTGCAACTCTTCTTTCAGCTTCCTTTCGCGGTACTGAGCCTGGCAGCAAAGAAGCCTAGTTACGCAAGTCTCATAGCCGCTTTGGCACTAGGATTCTCGAACTCACTTTCATTCTCAATCATAGAAAGAGCACCGGTATCAGCGGCAAACAAACAAACTACCCTTGATCCTGCAGCTGTCGCAACTTATGTGTCATGCCAGTACTGCCTTCAAGCAAATCGGAAGGCTACGAGAACTGTGGAAGCATCGGCAACAAAGCTGCTTGAAAAAACTGCGCTGCCTCTTGTCGGCCCTTTCAAGTGGTCGAGTGTCAAGCTACAACACAACTAAGTAGTTAACAGCTCATGCTATCACAAACAGCGGCTCCGAAACTAAATAAAGAAAGCAGAATAGGCAAGAGTTGTCGCCGGCAGTCCTGGGCCAGCTGTGCACTGCGCACAACACCAAAGTTGAAACTATTGAAGCGACCCTACCCCCCACCACCCCCGCCCCCATCGCACTGAGGAATGACATCCCGGCTGCCCAGAGTGTGACCAAAACATCGGCTTGTAGTGAAGCGAAGGTTAGCTGGACCAGCCAGGACTACACATGGGCACGCAGGACCAAAGTCATGAAGCCACCTCGCTTCTCACCCAAGACGACATCCGGGCCTCACGCGCTTCTTCTGCGACATTTTGGTGGTACTTGACTTCGGCCTGCGCAGCCTGCCGAAGCTATAGTTGATAGCACTCTTGAGCCAGGTCCTGTCCTAAATCGTTCACATGCAGTGATGCACTGAAAACAGCCTCCAGTTCTCGTCGCAAATTCCGCGCCATCTCGAACTTCTCATTGAAGAGTTGATCCTGCTCCTCACCGGGAAACTCACGAGGCTTACCTTCGGCGACTTGGGAGGAACTCGTCTTGCCAACTAAACTAAATGCCGTATCCTCGCGCATGTTCGCCTGCGTCCTGCTAGTCCATACATTCATTCCGGTGGCGCATCTTTCCGATCGAACACTCCTACCACCTCATTCAGCAAGATTCCACTCTCAAACTCTGAATCGTGACGCTGTTTCCACATCAGCTCATTCCTGGCACTGAACCGAAGTCGCTCATAGACCTAAGCCCGCTCCCGCGCGGGCACAAGGGTCCTTGCGCAACTGCTCGATCAGCTTGTCCTGGGAGTCTTTCTCCTTCTGAAGTCGATCCCGGGCAGAGGTGATGGGCAGGATCTCGGATTCAGTCCTTGCCGCAGGATGCCGCAGGATAAAGGCGCTTCGTCAAGAATTAGGGTTCCTTTCAGCCTCAAACAACATCCGACTCCTGGTCTTCTCGTACTCGAGCTGGAACTTTTGCTTGCTGATCTCCGAGAGACGAAGCGTCTGCTGCTCCAGCTCGATCGCCAATCTGCCATCAAAAATGAACGGGCAAACACGGCTTCAGGCGATTTCGGGCTTGGGGTTGAGGATGGCGTGGTTTTGGCGATCAGATGCGCTGACGCAGTGCGTCTGGCCTGCTGTCTGAAAGCCGTTCTAAAGTCTAGCTCTCAGATGCGCTTCACACCTCGGATCCAACTCCGACATCTTGACCCGCACCTGTTGATCTTCTCTTCCTTGCGCACCTCTTCCGTGAACCGAAGGTCTGCCTGCAATTCGACCAAATACGCGCGCATGGTGCAAAATACCACGGTAGATTGAGAAGTTTTGGATTCGTCGCGAGCAAAACTCAATGGTGTTGATGTACTGATTTGTTGTTTAATTTCTTGTGCACTAGGAATTTAGCATCAGAATCACACGATGCATCGCTTCGGGGGCTTGATAGTAGGAGTGGGAGTTGCTTGCAGTAGCGGTGGTAACCGTGATGGTGGTGGCCGTGGTCGTAGTCCTTGTCGCAGCGGGCGAAACCAAAAACGCTTGCAGTCGTCGCTGCCACCCCAAAACTGATGCTGGCAGGTCCAGCTTGCAGGTGCGAAGTTGAGCGAGTTTGAGGAGTTCGTGATCAGGGCCTAAGGTGTTGAGTAGATTAGTACACACTTCGGCGGACCTGTCCTTCAAGCCGGACTTCCAAAGTTCGGATTCTTTTTTCCCACAAGTTTGTGGACTGTGGAAGTTGCTGGCTTGACATGTTGTAGTGTCAGGGTCTGCTTTGGGAATTGAGACATACGGAAACCCTCCCCAAGGAAGTCATGACGGCTTTCGGCCCTACGAGCCACCGAGAGAACTTGAACATCGTGGGTGAGGGACCCGCATGGAGCTCAAAAAATATGGGCGGCCGTTTTGGAAATCTCTTGATCTTTGCCTCTGTTAGGATGCTTAGCGAAATGCTGTTTCCGACTGCGGGACCCAAACTTCGAGAATCCCTATAGAATGCCGTAGACGTATACAGGTCTCATCATATTCCGAATATCGTTTGTCCCTACTACCAGGTCCAAACCTGTACCGTGGCCGAACAATCGCTGGGGAAACTTCAACCAACAGCTGCGACGGTATCGACCATGATCTTATAGTTTTCGTCTGTATATAATTACTAAAAGATCACACTACTTTTGCTAGCACAACAACAAGAAGAGGACACAAGAATAAGCCTTGATTACCGCTCTTTATACTTGATGTCTTGCTCGTCTGAGGTGTTATCTTGGCTTCCAAGCGCTGCCTGCTTCTTGGCTTCTTCCAGCTGCTCTCTTAGGCTACCGAGCTCTTCGTTGGATGGTGCGGTTGGCGCCCCCTCCTGCAGGAAGCGTCTGCAAGTTGCCTCTAGATGCGAGAGTCCGGACCTAAAGTCGTTTCCAGTGAACGCTGGGAGGTGCGGATCTATCCTGAATCATTGCCTCCGACCGAAACCCAGCCGGAAGCAGTCCTGAAGGCTGTCCGGCTGGCTTCGACGCAACCCATCCACCTCACAGGGTATTCTCAAAGCTGGGACTCTCTGGCCCTCGTACCCAGCCCACCTCCAGCTGCAAGGAGTCGCGTTGCGCCTCGAGCTCCGCATAGGCATTCTCAAGCTCCGCCCAGCCTGGATTATGGCCGTGAGGATCTGTTGCTTCAGGGCTCGTTGCACACCAAGTAGCTACACTGTTACACCCTATAAAGACTAAACGCTTGGAGCACTTAAACCTGAGAGTCACAGTCTTGGATGATGTTCTGTTGAGATGTCAACGATGACAAATGATAAGCCCCTAGCGCCAAGGGTTTCAAACATTGTCATGGTCATCATGCGCAGCAGATCATTGCTGTGAGTCATCATCATCCTCATGGCAAATACCATAATCGCTATCATCAAACTGACGATTGCGGCAAGGCTGACACTAAGAACTGGCATTGTCATCATGACCTTTGCATGAGCGTTCGGACCAGGACGTAGTATATGACCATGAAACACACGCAAGTGCTCTTAGGACCCAGGAGTCCAGGAGCCCCCAAACCAATGAATCGAAACCCTTCTCTGGCCTTGGCCCCTCGGTTCCATCCTACAGCCTGGACCCTGGACCTGAAGGCATTGCATGCCAGGTAGCGGTTGGCCCACTCGACCCCCTCTGGTGGGTAGGCAGTTAGGCGCTTCAGCTCTTCTCCCATGCTTGCAGCCGGTTGCAGGGCCTAAAGCTCAGGGTTGCTTAGGGGTCTAAGACTTGGTGCCTCCAATGGCTTCGTAAGCTGTCACAGGGCCTGGGGGGTGTCGCGGCTGGCAATCCCTGTCTCTCTCTGTATGTGCAAATAGGCAACAGGCAAACGGTTGCATCGGAGACATTCGTAGCTTTAAGGAAAGTGTCGCTATGGCTATGAATCCTTGCTCAGCCTTATGAAGGCTTGAGCAGCTTGGCGATGGCATGGGCAGCCAATGAGAGACATCGGACTGTGGCCTTCGCGGACTAATTTCCCCATGCGCGACCCTCATGCTGCCCTTTCTCGTTTTCATGGAGCCCGAAATCCTGGAGAGGTCTTGAGCCGCTTCCTCATGGCCCTGAGCGGCAGCCTTTGAAAAGAAGGCCAGCGCCTTCTTTGGCTTCGCCTTCGTGCCCCGTCCCTCTGCGTAGCACTTGCCAAGCTGCCACTGTGCCTGGGCATCTCCCAGTTTGGCCAGCTTCCGCCAGAGTTGCAAGGCATCCGTATGTCGGTTCTGTCGGGAATACAAGTCCGCTAAAAGGAGTCTTGCCTCACGGTCACCCTGTCGCGCGGCCAGCTGGAGCCAAGCTGCAACAGCTGTGAAGTTCACTTCCTCAGGTGAGTTTGATGCCTTGTCCTTCTCGAAAAGTGCCATCTCCCGCTGTGCCTCAGCATAGCCAGCCTCGGCACTCTGCCTCAACCAGCGCTCGGCCTGTGGACGACTGACCTTGACTCCTTGGCCATGCAAGTACATAGTTCCTAAGACGTAGGCAGCTTCCAAATCGTCTTGCTCCGCTGCTCGCGCCATCCACTTTGCCGAGCGGGTCAAGTTCTGCTGAACACCTTGCCCGTTTGCATATGCAAATGCCAGGCTCTTTTGACCCAGCACGTCCCCCGCTTTTGCAGCCGATTGGAGCCATCTTGCACTTGCTGTCAGATCGGGTCCATCGGCTTCTGCAAGCAAAAGCCCCAGGTGTGTTTGGGCACCAAGATGTCCCATTGCAGCAGCCTGCTCATACAGTTCAGCTGCCTTTTTCGGGTTGGCATCTCGCCCAGAGGTACCCTCAAGATATTGCCCTGCCAAGTTGAACAGAGCATCTGGATCTCTACGTCCTGCGGCAACCTCATACCACGGCGCAGTGCCGTCCACCACAGCTTGCAAAGACGTCTTAATCCAAAAGACGAGGCTGTAGCGAGTCCCCTTCCACAAACGAACCCCGTGCTGTAGGTCAAAGGAGTGCACAAAAACATCCCCGGGCTCCAAAGGTACGAACTCACGGGAACTGGCATTCGGTCCAGACTGGATGTACAGCCCACCTTCGAACTCTGAGGGGTCGCTCAGGCCAAGGACCACAGTGACAAAGGCATGGCTATCAAAGTGAAGCTGGTGCGTGCGTCGCTCCCCTGCGACATACCTTCGAACCAGGATGTCAGCCAGGGTGCAGTGGCTGCATCTGTAGACCTGGCGCACGTAAGGTAGCAGAACCGTCTGCGCAAACGCGTCCAGCTCGTCTTTCAGGGCCTCGTCCACCCATTTCCCAGCAACCATGGGATAGAACTCGAAACTTGGCATTTGATCCACCGAGTCAGGCTCGAGGTCGTACGCCGCACTGCCTTTGACCAGGGACAAGAGCCGGCTGGCCGTCTCCCTTGGCAGCATTCCAGGTATCTTCATGCAGGAAACCGTGCCGTTGCTCCCCCGTACTCGCAACGACTTGTTCACATTCCACCGGTGCTCCACCCCCTGAAAAGCTCCGATCTTGATCCTTGGTTCTTGATTTCTCCGCCAAACAAGACTGCTATTGAAAGAAGCGTTAAAAAGAGTCTCAAGTCCCCTGGAAGCCAGCTCGAGCCCCCAGAGTCTAAAACTCAGCTCTTCGTCGGGCATCGGTCTCTCCTCTGGCTCCAGCAAAAGCTTCAAGGCAGCATCGACCACAGGGAAGCAAAGCAGAAGCCACGTGATGCGTACGTTTGCAAACATGGTTTAGGTTCTAGGGCTGAGGGGCTTTGGGGTTTAGGGCTTAGGTTTTAGATTTAGGGATCATGGACAGCTGGCCCTTGTGCTACATTGTTCAAGACTCTAGCCGGGCTACAGTGTCAACCGGCTTGGGGTGCATGTAGGGGCATGTACTGACATGCACTACACTACACCCTGTGGTCGAAATTCTACAGTATCCGCTGCAAACTCTGGCGATCTGAAAGATGGCTTTGTACTTACATGCGCCACTCAATGCATAATTCTACTTCTGCCGCCACAAGAATAAATAACACATTCATCAACCCGTCTATGAACACCGTGAGAATGGCGAAAAAATCAGCATCGGATAGCATGAGGACATCCGACACATCGACCTCCGAGACACCTTAGCTATGGTCTGACAAGGCTAGCATCCTGACGAATGCCCAACACTCCCAAATCTCCAAAGCGCATGCCACTTAACTTGAATGCTCTCCGGCTGTCCAGCGCATCAATGCCGAAAGCTCTCTCGCCATCACTCGTTCTTGGCCGTCACTGACGCGTCCATCGAATCATGCAGGCCAGAGTACCAGCACATACAGAACCCTATATCCTAGTACCCTATAATTAATTTTCATAATGTTATAATTAATGACGCCGGCAGCACATTGCTTCAACTGCAACTTCTGCGCCGAATTGGATTGCATGAATTCCCGTGCCTCTACGCTTGAAGGGCTGGGCCCTGGGTTGATACCCATTTCAGGGTTCAGGGCTTAGGGCGTAGGGTTTTAGGGTTTAGGGTTTAGGGTTCAAGGTTCAGGGCTTAGGGTTTTGGTGTCTGGATGCTCACTTTCCTCTTCTCTTCGCTGTCACTTTCGTGCACAGGTTGGAGTGTTCGGACAACACACCTGGCACATGAACAAAGCCAAACCGCCGGGCTTGAACGAACTTTCAAGCATTCTCACATCTGATAGAGTTGCTTCTTCCTGGCCACCTTGCTATTCTCGCACTGGTTGCGCTACCCATATCATCATTGGTCTTGCTGCAATCAGCAGTGGCCGTGCTCATGCAATTTGTAACGTTCCTACCTACAGGTAGAAAATTCCGTGCATCATTTAGTGAAATTCGCGTGATCACCGTCTATTGTGGCTGCCACTAGTAGCCCTGTGCGTGCATCGTTCTCTTCGTACTACGCCGTGTAACTAGTAACAGAGCTGTGAAGATGATAATATCAACAACGGTCCAGTAGGAATGACAGCTGACCCTCACCAGGAGCAATGAGACGCATATCAGCAGTCCAACCTCCTGATAATGGTAACACCAAATGGCTGCTTGTAGCCAGCACACATAATGAATACTGTTTCATGCAGCAGCTGCAAAGTCTCAACAGCGTCAGCTCTTTCCGCTTCGCAAGATTCGGGCACGTTCATCCTTCAAACGCGGCAAACCCACAGCCAACAAACACCCAGCCTTGAAGAGGTGGAGGCATCGATGTGTTTGATCTACTGCTCAGCAAACCTTGCAACCAATGGTACTCCGGGAACTTGCCAAAGTGACTGGGTTGCTTCGGGTCGCTGATGGCCACTGATGACTTCTGGATTGCTCCGAACGTGGCTACAAGAGGCTGCCATGCCCCGTCCTGAAATATTGGATTCTACGTCTGCTGGGAGCAAAAGCTGCCCCAAGCGGGACAGGCTTGGGACTGGCAGCGGGACTTGGGACAGAAGCACCTGCAACAAGGTCTGCAGTGCAGCGTGCAACGAACTTCCGATGAGGCTAAGCTCGCAACCCATGACCAGGGGGAAAACGGTGGGGCGTCCATGCGCACACCTTAACTTTACGGCTCTCTCATTGCTCGGCTTATGCTGCTCTTGAAACTAACCAGGATCTAATTTAAAACTGCGCAGCGCGAGATAGCATAACCAAACCAAGGGTTGCGCTGAAATGGGAACTTGCACGAACCCAGTTCTCGAATCAGCTTCTGCATCTGCACCTTCAGAAGCGCCGAGTAACGTTTCATTCAACTGCATGGCATGGAAACATTCCGACAGTGCCTGCGACAGCGGATCTCCAAACTTGATTGCACCGCGGCACGCTTTGAATGCCAGGATGTGCCTGAGGAAAAAACCCATTTCTTGCCCGCCCTGCCCCCCCCCCCCTGCCAACATAGGTTACAAAATAATGCGTTGCACAAAATCGAATGCGACGAGAAAAGTAAGTCTAAGTGCTGTGCAGAACGACTGGTGGATAGGCGGGTTTTCCATCGACACGACTGGCGTCTGCCGCGGCCAAAACCTTGGCACAAACTTAATGGATGATTGAGACTCCGCACCACAAATCCGTCTTGCTCATGTAAGCCATGACAGCTAAGTTCGCGGTAGGGGCAGCACTGCTTTGAGATCCCGCGGTGCTAGCATGGTGCCAAGGATGTTGGGAACATGTGTAACCACCTCGCACGGCAGCAACAGCAGTTTCAGCTTTGGGTTCCAGCTACTGTTTGTGTAAGGGCAGTGCAATCTCATCCGGCAAACTGCTGCCATCCAAGGCGCCTCGCCACAACTTGGATGGAATCAGCTAGCTCAGGTTTGATGTGGGTCGTCCAAGACCCCTGAGCTGTCTGCGACCACGCCAGCGAAAGCCCCACCCTGTCATGGCCAGACTCGAAACAACCGTCGCGAGGATGTGATGGCTGGGGGGCTCGCCATACATGTTAACAGGCTTAGAGCTGGGATGAACATGCAAACACGAGCTTGGCTTCAGTTACCTACCATATCGCAGCGGACCAAGCAAAGCATGCCAGAGTGACGCTCCGCGTGAGCCTCGTACTTATGCAACCACCGGGCCTCCTCCTTCGCCTCAGAAAGTTCAACGATTTTGGGCGTCGGGGCTGCGATTTTACTTCATTTCCGTTGCATTACCCGGAACCCTTAAACCTCAACTAGTAACTATCACAAAGGGCAGAGGACTACAAGAGGCATTCGGGGCCCGGGGTTTTTCAAACAGGGGTGCCTAAACTCTCCTTCAAGTTGGCCCTCCAGCCGGCTCCGGCCTAAAAAGTCACCCAAAGAGCAGAGCACGAAGAGCCGGGTCGTACCCACTCCCACGAGACCGCGACTAAGGCCAGGCAAGCTCCACTTCCATGAACTTGCACCTTGCATGTCTTTCTGCCTGCTGTGTCTACTGCATGCATGTGTGTCGGCATATCTCTCACATGCAGATAGAACCGCGCAGATGACCAATACACTGGCAAATATGCATGCCTACGACAGTCTTCCCAGGTTGGCTTGAAGCCTCTTCTCATAACCGCTTCTCGAGACTAGCAGCCCCGATAATCCCACATGATGTCTGGCCTGACCCCCTTGCGTGTGTAATGATTTGCCAGATCTCGTGCTCACTGTTTGGGAGAGAGAAGCTTTGCGTAAGACTTGATGGATTCCCTTGCCCTTCAACCCGACGTGACCGAGCAGCAAGCGGAAGCAACGGTTTCCTGGCTATCTTCCGCGAGCGCTTGACGTTGAAGGCGCTCCAACTCCACCTCGGCTCACACAAAAACCAACATATTATATATTATTTTTTATATATTTTTATATTATATATTATATCAGCACAGGCCCATAGTTGCCTCGAGCAACCTGCATGCCACATCCCAGTTCCCACTCCCACGGTCTGCGTCACTCTTTCGTTCATCGGGGAAGCAGCTCCTTAGCTTGGCCTCACTCCAAGAACAATTCTTGCACTAGCAATTGCGCTTCGGTCTTTGCCATGCTATTCAACACGAAGCCCCCACCTGTTCGTAGGGATTTTGTGTCTTGATTGGCGACCCGTCGAACGAAGTCTTCCATCTTTAAGATGTGCTTGTGCTCATTCCGTGCCGCCCGCTGTTTACGCATCAGATCAGCTTTAATTGTAGCAAGATCCGCGAGATCGTCTGATACTGTCCTCATGCAAGCATGGTGGGATGCCAAGTGCTGTGCTCGTATCTCATCGAGCTTCTGTCGCAAACGAACATCTTCCGCCAGCAGTGCATCCACTTTGCCTCTCACCTGTTTCAGTGACTCTGAAAAATGGTCGCTCTTGTCCGTGAGGTCAGCTAGTCGTTCTCGCTGCTCCTGGACCCTTTGCTGAGATTCAGCCAGCGCTATGGCTTCGGCACTCTCGCGTTCTCGATACTCGTCGCACTCGGTGTACAGCCTTCGGCATGCAGCGACCATTCGCTGTTTGTGATACTGAATGACCTCGTCGCGCCTGGCCATTGCATCCTGCAGGGCCTTCTCTTCAATCGCAAAGTTCTTCTCTGCTTCCCTCTGTTTGTGATGGGCAGTTTCGAGATAGAGCTCCCATTGCCGCTGCAGGTTGTGGAAGCTCACGACTTGCTGAGCCAAACGCTTAACCAAGCCAGAGCGATTGCTCCGGTCCAGCTTCATGCGCTGCCAAATCTGTGATGCCAGCAGGTGACCTCGCATCCCGTCCTCGCTCATCCCCCAGTGGGCTGCCAGCTCTGCACCACAGACGTGGTCATAAGACCGCACGGCCTCATCTACGGTGTGCTGAGATGTTGGCGACTGCCTTGCAGACGAAGGCCTGGGAGAGTTTCGCGGTGCCTTGGACGATGAGGTGTCGTCGGCAGTGGTCTCAGGAGGCAGCGCAAGGTCGACCGACTCTCCATTCCAAACATGGACGGTGGCCCAACGGCCATCCACGAACTCCTCTACAGGCTCCGAATCCGATGAGCTCCACACTGCCACGTAGGCAGGATTCTGCCAAGTCCTAGGAGACAGCTGCCAAACACACAAACGGTTCAAGCAGGTTGTTAACACACAGACACCCAACCCATCAAAGCGTCAAAATCTATCCCAGGGAAAGCCTGGCAAGAGGGAATCACAAAGTATCCGCGATCACGACTCTCCCCTGCCATCCCTTCCTTCTAACCTTAAACGGGAGGGGGCCCCCCATCCACTGAAAAAATACAAAACGTATGTGTTTAAGGAAAACTATCAGCTGGGGGGTCTTCTTGCATGTGCTCTTGCTGCCGCTGCTGCCATTTCTCCTGCTCCTGCTCTTGCTCTGGCCCCTGCTCTTGCTTTTCCTCCCGCTCTTGTTGTTGCTCCTGCACCTTCCAAATCCGAGTTTTATATCATAATCCACTTTTCTCCTCGTCCCGGGACCGCCCCCTAACCCGGGACCCGGAACGCCCCGGAAAAGCACCAGAACCCAACCGAAACTCACAACGAAACCCGGAATGCCGGGAACCTGGAATGCCGGGAACCCATACTTCTCGGCCCGGGCCCCCTCAGTGCAAGAAACATGTCCGAACCTGTGCTGTTGTTATGTAGGGCGCGTTTCATACATGAGGGAAGTGACTAGGTAGAAACCACACGCAATACTGGAACTCTCACCCGCAACTCGGAACCAAACAGTAAAACCTGCCATCTGCCCCTGTGAAGCAAATCAAACAACCGGCGTTTTCTGAGTCGTTCTTGGGACGAGCCAAAGCCATGGTTTTCGTTTCTCAGCCTTTTCAGAACAGGCCCTTTGATCAAGTCTCCAGAGAGTTGCCTTACCACTCTTTGTACCATGACGATACACAAACTGTGCAGGGCCTACTGTACAAACCGAGTCAGAAAGGACGTGGAAGGGTTGGAACTCCTAGTAGTGCCAGTCGCCACAAGGGCGGAGAGGACCAAAAAGGAAGAGCAGGCATAGTTAGAAGGGAAGAGCAAAGCTCGATTCAAGACAGCCGGGAAAGTGCCCAAACGGAAATAGATTTATTGGGGCCTCTGGGAGGGTAGTGCAGTTACGTACCCCACGTTGCCGACAGATGCGCTGCATCCGAGATTCCACAGGACAGCTTGGACCTTCTCCTCATGGTCTATGACAGGCAAACCCTCGGCTCTACCGAGCTTGAAGGTTAGAAGGTCTCTGCCTTCTTCACTTGGCCTTAAGGACACCACTGTGATAGCTTTCCCTGCTGCATCTGCCATCAGCTTACGCCCATCCGACCTCAGAGGTGGTGCATGACCTAAGGGCAGGATGTTCAGGTTGCGAAGCCCAGAGCTGGATGCAGTGCATTGCCGGCCGAAGGCAGCTTCTCCGAGGAAGGTATCCCCCTGCCAGAATTCCAGAAGCAGTGCAGGGAAATTTCGGGCTCTCCCCGCTGCGTGGGCATTCTGCGTGGGGTCATCCACTGAGACCTTCTCGCCCTCGAAGCCCTGTGGCTCGTCCAGGGCATCGTCCCAGTCCATCTCGAAGCTTTCCTCGAGGCGCGGCACGTTGAAAGTCCGTGGCACTTCCTGCACTCGCCCTTGCTTTTCGGGCCATGCAGATCGGAACCTCCTAGATTCCCGGGCGTTGCAGATCGATGCGGACCAGCAGGCGTGAACAGCAAGTCGGCCACTTTGATCAACAACGAACTCTAAGAGGATCCCTTCGAGGTCTATCTTGTGAAACCGGTGCGCATAGCGCACTATTCCCAAGGTCTTGGACTCGATGGCATCCATTTGAGGTGCATCGAGCCGAAACTTGTCGGAGCGGCCCTTCCAAGGTTCAGGCGACACACCTTCGAGCGTGTAGCATTTCTGGAAAGGCTGTGAGAAGGCATCGTGCTTCTCCTCTAGCTGCGCATCGCATGTGTATACACTTAAGAATCGCAACCCATAACGTGGCTCGACGTAGGACTGCAGTGTCCAGACCCCGGACAAGCTTCCACTCCGAAGGGTCACGATCCGTCCCTCCACCACTTCACGCAGTATCTCGGTGAAGCGCTGCAGGCTTAAAAGGACAGGTACGATGGTACCTCCAGGAATTCCCTCTCTGGGGTTTCCCTTGCTCTCGTGCCTGAGGATGGCGATGGGTCGATCCGGCCCCTCGGAGATCTCCTTGAATCGCTCCAAGAGAGACGAGACCGACCCAAGAGGCCGTTCTGCTACCATGCCTCGCACATTCTGATACCAGGCCTCCAGGCGACAGCCGCAGAACAGGGCAACTTCTGGGATTCGCTGACGCAGCAGAACACCACTGCTGTCACCGCACAGCCAGCTCCAAAAGCTCAGCTCCATCAGACCTGCCTAATTAATTTCGCATGTCTACGACCCTCGTTCAACGGCTGAATGCTCTTCTTCTTCAACTTCTGGAAACAGCAACCGTCTTTAGTAAGATTTTGGGGGGCGCTTTCGCTGACATGTCCCCGCGTGGCGAATGCTGCTTTGCCCGGTTGAATCTGCCATGGCCAGGCGCAAGTGCTTCTGCCGCGTGCCCCGCGTGCTTCGCAAGACACTGTAGCTCCCTCACCTGCATCAATCACTACAAATAGCAGCCAAGAGCGATGCCCGCTCTGCAGCTGCATGCTGATCCTTATGGTTCAAGTCAGCCAATGGGAAACCATGAGGACATTTGATGGCCCATCGCTTATAAGTTTTCACCCACAAAGCAATCACGGTCACCAGCTCAGATCAGCACTGGCGGCACGTCAGCCTGGCCTACACCTGCTGGGTCTCTTGGTGCCCAGCGATAATGAGCAGGCGTCCGGTCAGATCACCTGCAACCGTATTTTCACAAGGAGCTGCACTGAGACTTGCCTTAGACGGCTATGATCTTCGGAGTCGGAACATCACCAGAGTTCTTCGAACCTTCGTCGGGCTCCCGATACGCCACGATGAATTTCGCCTCCACCTGGCATTGCAGCGTCTCACACATTTGGTCAGGAATTGGGCCAGCCACCTGAGTCGTGGTGCGGCTTAAACTCAAACCCTAAGCCAAAAGCCTTTGAATGCCACCATTCTTATCATTCTCATCCCGACACTAAACAGATGCGACGATAATAAACATGAGCTGATCATCATATCTTCTGTGCCTGAGCAATCGGCCGCAGGTGCCGCAGGTCGAGAATGCTGAGCTCCACCGACTGCATCAGGACACCACGCATGAATAGCAGTGCGGGAACGCTGGCTGGCTTCTACAAGGGGCGTTGCAAAATCCTGTGGCTCTGCAAGGTTAGTGTCATCCACGTGGAAGCTTCTCCAAGTCATCTCCTTCGCGCATGCAGACCTTGCCTAGGAACTCCCCAAGCCTAAATCTAGCCATGTCCGTTCTTTGCGAAAGCTTCAGCTCTAAGGGGTCGGGACTCCAACACTAACGACGATTACCGAGGCTGAGCGGATGATCGACGGAGCAGAACGGAAGAAACGAAAAGTGGTTGCTTGCTTGCCATGTGCAGCCCAGCCTCCGACGTGTTCTGGCGCCGCACCTGCCAAGCGAGCGACGGAAGGAACCGTCCAGAGCGATGAGATGTAGCCTCGCATCCTACACTTATTTCTTCGTCTTCATTCGTGCGGCCTTGGAAGAAAGTCAAAGTGGCAGGGCTATGACTGCGGGCCAGACGTTTGGAAGCTCCAGCAAGCTGCCAGCGCGCGGAAGCTTGAGACGCGGTTGCAGATTGCATGCCTCCGTACCGCTTTGCCAAAACATGCACCGTTTCACCATTTTGAGGGCCAGAAGTTGCTCAGATTTGTCCATTTGGCGAGAGAATGACTCATGACCAGCTGCAGTGCCTTCCCACTGCTGAATGAAGTGAGAGGCGGCCCGTCTTCGGTCTTGACTGGCCTTGGTCGACTTCCGACTTCGGAGTCTCCCCACTGGTGGTCACTGACAGCACAAGCCCAAGTCCCAACCCGTCGCTCTGAACAAAAAAGCCTCTTTGTGCCGGGAACTTCGTGCGGCACCAAACAGCCTATATCCGTTCAACCCAGAACACAGCAATCGAACTCCCCAAGCCGAGCCGCAACACGATGCTGTCTTCATTAGGCACCGGGGCTTGGCGACCACAGGCCTGAAAGCCAAGCTTTGGCAAGAAATCCCTGTTCTCACCTCTGTATTTGTTGATCACTAGTTGCTCGCCTGTGTTAAAGTTGGTTCACCCACGCATCCAATACATGCGCGCTTACGACTTTTATCATATATCATCTTGTGTAACTCAAGGCGCCATTATGCCACTATGTTCGTTGATAGTCGGCGAGGTCAAGTGCTCTGCCCGTGGTCGACTGCAGAAATGCATCGGGGCCGCTGCGGACGCATGAAACTTGATCGAGCACAACTTCGGGTGCATGCGCTCGGGATCAGTCTCGTCATTCCTTGTTGCATTGCTTCAGTGCTGGAACGCGGCCGTCTCTGCGCTGACTCTACACCCACACCTTGGATTTGCTGGGGACGCCGTGGGTAGCACCTGCAACAAACACACTGGAGACTCGACGTGGTTGCTGGATGTGTGGAGCAGGCGACCGAGTCCCAAACGCATTTACTGCCGGTCTCAGCCCGCCTGGGTTCCTTCACGGAACAGCTTGCGGACTCGTGCTTCAGCTCTCTGGGCTAGGAAAAAGGGCAGAGGGATGGAAGTTAATGCAAGTATGAGGATGTAAACGGAAGAGGTGTGGCCTGCCCTTCAGGGAAGATTAACTTCGAAGTTTCGATGCTGAGCCATGCTGGCCGACTGGCATGCATAGTCCATCTCGTAGAAAGGCTTGAGAAATTCAGTGGGTTTTGAATCAAATTCTCCATGCCCTGCACGCTTTTCGTTGCGGGAGAAGAGGTTGTGTCATATAGTGTCCTTGGAACCCCTTGGCAATGCCCAGGCAAGCACTGCTGGTCTCTGAGGTGCTTGTCGGCTTCACGGAGTGTGCGTCTGTGGATGCTAGAGGTTCGAAAGATGGCGGGTCGCAATTGAAAATTTGTTAGGCTTGCTCTCTCACTCTTGCTACAATCATAGACAGGTCAGGTAATCTCATATGGCTCAGGGCCTTCGATGTGGTGCTTGAGGTTGTAGGGTTCAAAAAAGAACGCAAAAGCCGCTGAGTAAGCGTCCTCCTTGGCAGGAGATCTCGTCGACGTCCCGGCGTCGTTCAATCTCTGCTTCTTTCCTGGCACCTCATCTGGTGCCTCCTTTTCATTGAGGGCCCTGGGCTTGATGTGCTTCGACTTCCTGCAAGGGGAGCTCGCGTCAAGATTCAGACTAAATCCTCTGCCTATGCAGGTAAAGTCTATCAAAAAAGGCGGCTGGCTGCGTTGTTTTCTGGCTCTGGTTACTGTTGTCTGAACATATTCACTCACTGGTCAGCATCCTCTGACAGCTTCGCATATTGCGAGGGGCTGGCCTCTTCTTCTTCTTGTCCTTAACTCTCTCCTGCCAGCACGACGCGATATGTAGCAGCATCATGCGCCTCGTCACTCAATCCTCTGCTTCGGGTGTGTGCTCGAGGCACGCCGCGCTGAGCCTGGCAATCCATCACCCACTGGCGCAGACAGGGAATCCCTAAACCCTTTTTTGAACCCAGACTCTGCCAATCAGCAAACCCTACACCCCTAAACCCTAAAGTCTTCGTGCCTCATCCCGTGGGCCGGAGCCCGGGAGCCATCTGCAGCCCCAGGCTTCCGGGTTGGAGTCGAGGGACTCACCTGCTGGCCATCTTTCCTAGCTCTGCCGGGGACCACGAACCTCCACTATTCAGAGCTGCTCTGTGCAGAAGCCGAGAAATCGCTAGCCTTGCGGAAGGGGTCGGTCTGCTTCGTCGGCGTCACGGGCAACCTGACGGACCTCTTGTCAGCTGAAGTTCTTGAGGATTCAGTTCTCAATAATGATAAGAGACGGCTGGCCTGCACCAGACTCTGTATGCTGGCAAAAATAACATGGCTTAGTTTAAAGCTTGCGTTGGTAGCGACCACAACAACCACAAGCGCTGAGAATGAGATGGCACTCGGTCATGTTCGTCGTCGAGGCTTGGTGCTTGGACTCGGTGATTCTCGGTGATTGGACTCTCGCAACTACGATCGGGTGCATCATTTTCTTGACAAGAAGAAATCGAGAACAGACTGACAGCAAAGGCGACGAGGATGATCATGAAGAAAAAGTTGACGGTGAGACGGTGTTTGTAATGGTGGCTAGATGATGGTGAGGATAATTGATGGTGACGGTACTGGAAATTCTTGTTTGGCGCTGTTGGCACGCGATGTCCTCACATCGTGAGAGAAACGACCATGACGGCTCCCGAAGTCCAAGCCCCGAAACCTGGACACCTGAGCCTTTAGCTTTACTTCTTTTCTAGAATCCCGTAAGGGGAGCGTGCAGCAAATACGCCGCTGTACCTATGCACACAGATGCCCCTTGTAGTCTGCATCCGACATCCGACTGCAAAATTCATTCAATCCAGAACCTGACCCTTTGATTGCTGCACTGAACAACCAACATCAAAATCATTCAACATCCCACGTCCAGCCTGGAGGGCCCTGTCTTGGCCCTCGTGTTCAGCTTGCAGAAGTCGGCTAAACTTGTCTGAGGGCTCCTGGTTTTGGATGAGTTAGAGGGTGGAGATCTTAATTATAAGGTTCTGAAGATCAGTGGTCTTCCGGAGGGTCCGTTATAGGGATTCCGCAGAGTGGCATTGGGTTTTTAAGGAGTAGGACCAGGGGTCTTGGCTCCGAAGGGACATCCCGGGCAAGGCGCACGGATCGCAGAATCGGACTCCAGGCTTTTAGGGCGTTCTGCTTCTTGAAACAGCGATATTCCTGAACCATGTGAGCCCCATGATTTACGGCGTCGCATGTTTGTGGGTTGGTATTTTTGGGGGGATTGGCGGGGGCCGCTTGGGACGCAGGTTCTGTGAGACTCGGCTCCTGATCCCATCTCCTTCTTCCACATCCTCGCGGATCCTGGAATCTGCCAGACAGAGAGAGAGAGAGAGGGGGGGCACAGTGCCGGCTTGCATTTAGACTGGGCGGGATATCGATCGTGACTAGTGACCAATAAGACTGCAGTAACTCCGCGCACTTCGGAGGAGAATCGGAAGCTTGCAACGGCCAGGCCTCTTCGGATTCTGCGCGGCCGCAAACTTCGCTAGGACGGTGCCCTCCTCGCTGTCTTCGCGCAGCTTGCACCGTGCCCTGGCATGTCGCTAGGCTGCAACTGCTTAGATGATCACCCAGCTTTGTCTGCAACTGCTGCAGATCCAAAAATCATTCCACAGCCGACTGAATGAAGGGCCTCTCTTTTGTGCAACTCTGCCTCGCGGGCTCCACCACGCCGGTCTGCTTGCGTCTTTTCCATGCGTTTGCACGGGCAGGCTGCAACGAAGAGATGAGACCACACTGTGCTTCTCAAACTCCTAGGTCCTGAGGAGTGGAACTATTCCACTTCGCTTTCATCTCAGCTGCAGCTTGTGGGATGGGCCGTGACCAAACCCACGCCCTTGACAGTCCTCAACACCGAGGAAGCGAATTAAAATTGGGTGGTCTCTTTCGCCAGAGAGTGTGAGAATTGAGAATTGGGAAGACATTGAGGTCTTCGAGGCTTCACGAGGCTTCACGGCAGGCTTCGCATACAATGCATAAACTCCCTTAGGATTGCTGTGGATGCCACGTCGTTTGGGTTGGAAATGTCGGCGTTGTCGGCTGATCCTGTGTAGCACCTGCAACATGAAATCAGTTGAAATCGATGGTACGGTTTGCCAAGGCTTCGTACACACAAGGCTGCGAGCAGGGTCTGTTCAGCTCTGAACATCCAGCATCGAGCACTTGCTTCAGCAAGTTGCTTTTCGCGAGCAGCCGAGGCAGCTTCACTCAAGATAGCTGCCGATGAATTCGGGAACAAGGGCAAACGCGTGCTACTTTGGATGGATGGCGTCCCGCTCTACACAGGCAAACGTCACATGTCGAATATTGTGGTGCTCTGGTTTTAGGGAGGGCGGAAGGGACATTTCATATTTTCAGTCAGGTACGCCTCACGGCTGTGCAGCTGGGCATATCTGAGACAGCGTATGCTGCTACAGGGCCCGATGCACGAAATCGGGAAATGGATAAACTGTGAAAGCGGACATCTTACGCGACCTGGTCAGCGCACGTTCCTTTACAGTCGACATCTCGCCGCAAAGTTTCAGAATCGTTGTTGTCACAATGCACATGCTGGTTTTCCTATTGTATCGTACTGCGCATTAGTTGGAATGGTTTCAGACAAAACGGAGTATTCCAGCACACTTTTGTGTGTATTAGACGAGATGTGAGTGGCCACACCCAAGTGCCCAAAGCCCTCTAACCTTCACATACGGAACATAGGCTCTAGAATCCTTTGAAACCCACGACCATGTTCAAAAGCCCTAAGTTTAAACCAAGGCACCAAAACCCCCCAAAATGTGGAGCTGTAGTCCTCAATCATGGGATATTGGGCTCCCTGAGTGGCCGATCTCAAAAGGTTCTCACCGGACTGACGCCATGGGGCCATCCTGGCCGTTGGCCCAGGCTTCGAGTTGACGCATGGCGGACTTCTCCCTGTCCTTAGGCCAAAGGCTTCGGCTTCGGAGTGCCTAAACCCTGAACCCTAGACCCTAAAACCTAAACCCTAAACCCTACACCCCTAAACCCTGAACCTTAGACCTTCGGATACCTATGGGCTCAGGATGGCTTGGGGCAAGGTTTAGGAGAGCATGGTGCATGGTTGAGGCCGGTTCCGATCATAGAACAATGATAAGTTACTGCGGGGAACATAGAACCATTGCCCACGCAAAGATGGCTGCGTGTGGGGGTGTGCATCTGAAAAACAAGAGAGGGAGGGATGGAGAGACAGACAGAGAGAGAGAGAGAGAGAGAGAGAGGGATCCATGCATCTGTTAAAAGGATTTGTAGGTGTTTATCTTCTCATGGTTCATCATTACTCTACTTCGGTCTCGAATGACACCGCAGGGACCGAGTTTCGCAAGGCAAAAAACCTGCACGACATAGCTGACATAGCTCTCCCATCGCTTAAGTGCTGAGCGTAGCTTTGTGCTCGGTGGCAGATCTGGGTACTATATACTATATACTATATACTATATACTATATACTACCGATACTATATACTATGTAATATACATACTATAGGCGAGGCAGGCCACGTCAACATCCAGTGCGTTTGCCGACAGCAGAAGCTCCCGGACAGTGTCTTCGCAGAGGTGTAGATATTTCTCTCGAGCCTGCAAGAAAGGCTTGAACACTCCTTCTCTTGCGAAGTGTTGGTAACAAATCTGCAAATCCGACTATGTCAGTCCTCAGCCCCTGCAGCCCAGGAGAAGCCATGGACTGTTCCCTGCCTTCAGCTCTTCATGCCATGCTGAGAGCTCACCAACCTTGGCCATCACCACGGACTCCTGGAGGCCTTCCGCCCCGCTTTGGGCCTGAGACAACAGCGCCGGTGAAAGGCAGAAAAGGTGCTTGCGCCTAGAGAAGCTGACTTGGCCCGGCTCTCGTGCAGGATCTGGGCTGCGAAGGATCGCGGTATGCCAGGAGAAAGCTGAAAGCTTCTCTCGGGGACATTATTCAGGGACATCATGACCTTATCATCATCAACGGAATTCGTCATAACCGTCAGACTTGCCACCCAGCGTGTGAGCTGCACAACGAAATGAGCTTCTTCATGTTCTTTGTTGGGTTTGCACATTACACAATGAGTCGATGCTTTTGAGTAACCCTCAAGCCTTGGACTTCCTGAACATCGGCGAGACGGAATCAGAGGCAAAACCTGAACGGCCCTAGCCCCTGAACCATGATCACACTGACAACTCCTAGCAGAGCTTCAGAGGAGGCCTGATCGCCCCTCCTCGGCTTCAGCATGCACCGGCCAGGCATCGTGGAATCCTGGAGGAGCGAAAGTCTTCGGAAAGGGTCCGGATGTTTGGAGACAGCTCTGGAGGAGAGTCTGGCGGAAGGGTTCATTTATTTGACGCGTCTGCCAAGCTCTCCTCACGACTGCAGCAACTTGGCTGTCTCAAGGTTCTGGACTTTCGGGGCTTGCGCATGTTGAATTTGGGGATCTGGGGAAAGACTTCTACTTGGCCTCTTATTGAATGATAACAATGGGGTCGTGCCGTCAAGGGGCTCAGCCTGCAGCTACAGGGTGACAGCAGGGGAAAAGGGAGCGGCAACAACGATGCAGCATGCGCCATGTGGTGCTCCGGCGTCTGCTGCGGCTTCGGGATGAGTGGCAGTGGCGGAAAAGGTGGCAGTTCCGCGGCTGTCTCGGCGCCGAGGGTGGGAGACTTCAAAGGATCACCTGCGCTCCCGATGTCAATGCAGGACACTGGCTATGCTCAGTCGAGGCCATGGATCAGGCCAGAGACAACACAAGATAACTGGCCAGGGACTCATCACAAGCTTGATAGAGAAGCATTCGGCGGCTCCTTCAAGTACTCTTCAAAGTAAAAGCCAAGACCACTAAACCCTGAAACGACAGCATAATCACCTGCGGCCGTCGACGCAAAAGATGGCTTGGAAGGCATCTTTGGGCAAGCCTGGAGGCTTTAGAGAGCTTTAGGAAGTACTTTCAGGGTTCGTGCTACTTGAAGAGTTACTATAGATCACTGTGCGGGTTGCGGGTTGTTTAAGAGTTACTGAAAGAGTGGATTTCTATAGGGGTTGATGTTAGGGGTTTGTAGAAGGTTGCAAAAATCAGGGTTTCTAGAACGACGCCGGGCGTGCGAATGAAAGGTGGACTCATGTGGGCTGACGAGTTGGTTCATTCAGCTGTCGGATGGATAGGTGCATGCATGAGTATGTACGAGTCTCAGAAACAAGGGGCCTTGGTACGTGGTACCTCCATGTAGCTACTATGCTCCCAGGACTATGGAACTCGCAACTGATTTGAAGGTGTATCTATAAACCCGCGGAGTCCCATATGGCTGAAGCAGGGGATGACCTCCCAAAGTACAAATACAAGGGCTCCTAACTATGAGTCGGCGTAGGATTTTTCCTAACTACAACATGCATGCGCCATCGGGTAGAACAACAACACGCTGATTGAAATATGCTTGTATGTATTGGCCACGAAGCAAGCGATTGCAACAAACACCAGGGCGAGGTCAGCCAGGAAAGGTTCAGGGTTTAGGGCTGCTCGTGGAGGCCTAGGCAACAATTAAACCCACGAGTCTCTGCGACTTGAACCAGCCATACACCCGAAACTACTAAACCCTCGCCTGTCAGAAACCCAACTCAAGCTTGCTGCGACGTTCAAGCCCTTTCCGTTCTGTGGCTTAGGGCTTGTGGCAGACAGCGTTTCCTACAGCTTACGGTGGTTTACCTGTATGGCATAGGCATGATATTCCAAGCGTTCGGAAACTGTTATGACAGATGCAGCCTTCCACCAAGAGGCTAAGTGCTTCTCCGAATGATTTAGATGCGTTCTGGGGCTCGCAAACATCTTGTAAACGCAGGACACAAGAAAGCACATGTATGTCGCGGAAGCTCTATGCAAGTGTTGCCATTGGCGCGAACAGACTTTGCTTTTGAATTTTGTGCCGATCTCATGTGCACCAGCATGGAATTCGGGCGGCCTTTTCTGAAAACAAGGGACAGTCATACATCTCATTGATGTAGCAGGTCTTAAACTACTCTGCTTCTGCATTACCGCCCAATCCTTCATGTTTTTGGGTTTGGAGCTGCTCTACATGAATGCAAACGCTTGCTTGAGAATGACTGGCAACGAAGATTCCAACTTCCACGGTCAGTCTAGCGCTGTGCACCTGTCATTGCATAGGGCACCGGGTATGCGGCAAACAAGCGAACGACGGTTGAAGGTATCTGCCATAATGGATGTCAGATGGTGGGTACGTTCTGCACAGAGACGAACCGCGAAACTTGTGGAAATCATGTTAGTCACTGTTAACAGCTTCAAGTGGTGACACATCAGAACTCACAAAAACCTGAACCCCAACGAACAAAATCTGAAACATTCAATCGGAATCATAACGATCCAAACCTTTTCGGTGGGATTTCCGCCGGCCGAAACAGGAAAGCTGTGCGGGGGCGACAAGCTGTCCATGTATGTCTGTCGGTCGGTCTGTCTGTCTGTCTGTCTGTGTGCGTATGTATGTATGTATGTATGTATGTATGTATGTATGTACGGATGGATGGATGGATGGATGGATGGATGGATGGATGGATGGAGGAATGGATGTAGGTACGTATGCATGTGCGCATGCACGTATTTATTTTTGAAAAACAAAGCAGGCATACATACACATATATATATATATATGAGTGTGTAAATGCATGTATGTATAATGCATCTGTCCACCTCCGGATGCCTGCGGATGCCTGCGGATGCCTGCCTGCCTGCCTGCCTGCCTGCCTGCCTGCCTGCCTGCCTGCCTGCCTGCGTGCCGGCGTGCCTGCGTGCCTGACCTACCTGCCTAGCTAGCTGGAAGGTACCTACTCAGCTACTTATCCTACCTACCTACCTACCTATCTACCTACCCATGTACATAGTGCATACACCATACATACATACATACGTACATACATACATACATACATACAGACATACATACATACATACATATATACATACATACATGCATAGATGCATGCATGCATACTTCTACATGGTAGTATGAAGATGTATATGTACATGTATGCACCAGCATCTGCAATTGCAGCATCTGCCTATGGCTACAACTCAGAACTTTCATTTGGAATCCACCTGCTGGTGCGGGTCACAGCTTCCACGCAGGGGCCTGCTCGTCATTCGTCTTTGTGTTGCTGCGCTTGCAAGGGTTGCCTTCGGCACAGCAACATTACAGCAACCATGGTTGCCCACATCACCCACAAAAACGTGCCACGCTTTGCCTGCATCCCAAGCTGTCTGGCACCAATTCGCCAGTTTGTCGGTACCTTCGCTGGCGAAACAGGGTCTGAAAGACCGTGGAGATCAGCCAGCCTAACCACACGACTGACCGGCTGACAGCTTTTGCTCAGCTGCTTGATTCTTGCTGAAGTCCTGGGACATGGCGATTCGAGAGCCGCCGCTTGAGCATGCGGCCGGCTCCCAGTGACCGCAGCTTCGGTTCTGGGAGGCATTCAAGGTTCTCGATGTGTGCATCCCACGGTCCGGCAGCACCCATCCTATCCTCCAGATCTCGTACCGGCTTCTTGCTTGGAGAGCCCGGGGCGGACATCGAATCGTCGACCTCACGGAGAGCTGCACTCCCACCTGCAGGGCCGGGCCGCAAGCAGCGCCCTAGCGGTTATCTGCTTCGAGAAGCTTTCAAGACCCGTCGGCCTGAATCTGTCTGCAAAGTGTTCTGCCGGAGGAAGTATGGCAGATGCACTTTGCAGTTCTTGTAGCAGCGCGCGCTGTTGCAGGCCGTCCTTGCCACGGCGCGATCGGAACTGGACTGCTTGCTGTACGCCATTGCTGAGGGCTCCTGTCTACGCGAAAGCAAACGCTGAGCGTCTGCTGCAGTGCATCCGCCACCTTTCAAAAAAGGAACACAGGCACAGGACCGGCAAAGCTGCAAGGCCCGTCGTAGCCGCCAGCCTCAGCCGGATGCTCCACAGCGTTCCTTTCCAAGCCTCGGCGCGGATCTTGAGTCTTGCGCTGACAAGAGCTGGACCTAAAGGATCGTAAAGGCTTCTTAGGTCTGGCAACTTGATGCTTTCAGGTGCTCCCCTACTCGGACACATTCGGTACGATCTGACCCCTCATCCCAACTGGGGCACACACGAAGCCACAGTGGGCTTCTACATAAGCTCCTGCGAGGACCGCCCAATAGTTTACTGCAAGACGCGGGCTTCAGGAATGTGGGGCAAGACCGCAGGACACTGTTCCCAGTTAATGATTGACTTGCGCCGTTACACCGAAACACCGGTGTTTCCTTGCACCATGAGACTTCCCTGTCCCGCTTGATGCGGAGCTTCCGAGATTTGCAACCGAGCTTTGCCCAACATCTGATTCAGGCGCAATTCTCCATCTCGGCGTCCTGGAGCGCTCAGCAGCATGCACGATGATCACGGCCCCGTGCGCGGTGAAGCAGTTGTGAGACAGGTGCAGCTCTCCTGTTGTCGCAAGCGAGAGAGAGAGAGAGAGAGAGAGAGAGAGAGAGAGAGACAGACAGAGAGAGAGAGAGAGAGAGACAGAATGAGCAGAGCGGTTTCTTCTGTTGTGTCAATCTCGGGTCTGTGCACAAAGGCACTCCGCTGGTTCTTTTCTCAACCTCCTGCTCTGTTGCTTGCTGTCGGCTTTCGGATTTTGCTGGGAGCATTTGAAGAAGGACATCGCTGCCAGATCTCCCTCCCAGGCTCACATAAAGCCAGAGCCGGAATTTGCCGAAGCCTCTCATTACATGCGCTTCAGAGAGGATGCAGACATGAATTCAGGCTCTTGCTGCCGGGCTGCTAAGTGTTGTACTTCTTTTGCAGAAGTCGGCGAGCTGTTCAGCTCCAAGATCTCCAATTCGATTCTTGTGCTTCAAGATCTCCAATCCTGCAACCAGGGTTTAGGGTTTAGGGGTTTACGCTCTCACAACTCGGACAAGCCTGGCGAGGTTTCGAGGTTTAGGGGTTTAGGGCTTAGGGGCACGGAAATTGGAATCAAAGACCTCCAACCATATTTGAGGAACGCTCCCGATGCCCTTTCCCCTGACCAGCAAAGGAATATTGAACCTCTCAACCATCAACCCTAGATCCCACTGCAGTCCTGGGATTCTCGCGCCTCAGATCAAGCACACAGGAAGGTGTACATCAAACATGCAATTCCTTCACGTTCGACACTCTAGCAAACAAAGCACCAACACCTACCTAGATGCAGACCCCATGTAACGAAAAGCTTCTCATCCCTTAAAATTTTCGCACATTGAGATTACCACGAACATGTCCACCGGAATCGTTCTCGATTGATCCCTCGCCATTCCCTTCGCACAAGCTCAAAGCCGAAACTGATTAGATCCAAGCAGGGCGCAGCATGGCAAGATGTAGTGCAGTGCCTCATGAGTGAACTTGTTCTGCGACAGGTCCACTACTCCTTGGCCCAGCGTTATGCCTGCTTAGGGTTTCGAAGCCTGCCTCACACCTCATGACACCCATCGACGAGTGCACCGAACCCCATATGGACTACCACACCCCACCCATCCCCGCTACGGCCTCAATCTGAAGTGGGTTGAGGGTCGCTGAGGGAGAGGCTTACAGAGCTACAGATGGCTGCTGGACAGGTTGAAAGGTTCCGACTTCGAGCCTTTTAGTACGTAATTCCATGCTCTCCATCGAAATGCATGTCTTCTCCAGCCTTGCGTCGATATTTCGAGAGGTCCTGCTTGTGCAATCCCAAATCCTTGCTTGCAGAATGGGTGGGCGGATGTGCAGCGAGTTTGAAGGTCAGAGAAGCTGCTTTCAAGCCAAGAACATGTTAATTGCCTGGCCTTTACGCTGGGACATCAGATCGACTGTTTCAGCAAACGCTCTCAGCTGAATTCATCAAGAACACAAGCATCCAAGTATCCGTCGCGTTCTTGTCAGTGAGATTGAACTGGCAAGTCAGCGTTCGATTGGCAGCCGGCGCGACTACTGGATCTCGCATGGTTGCGCTTCAAGCCGAATTGGCTGCGGACACGCCGACAAATCCCATGAAGCCATAGTTTTTTTCAGGAATTATGCGAAAGTGGGCTGCCTCGAGTGCTGCGCACCCTGCCGAGACAAACAGGCTCGGCCATGAGCACAGTCCAAGACAAAGAACCACACCCGTCTGAAATTGCGAAGACCGTGCACAGAAAACTAAACTTCGCTTTGAAGCTTCGAGCAAACCCCACCGGCTCGTCAATTTAGGCAGAATCGAAATCAATAGACAAGCAGCCCTTGAAGAACGACCATCGAGCTCAATAGAAGCTATCATCCAAGCGTACAACAAATCAACAACAAAACGCAAATCACATGCCTACATAAATTGCTCCTTTGAAGCCCGTCTTGAGAGCCTGTCTCGCTCTGCTTGGGAAGCAGCTGCTGCCTCGCCGACAAAGCTGCTTCACTCGACCCTGTTACAGCAGTTCAGGGTTCCGAAGCTGGGTGCGCTTTGCTTGCATCAGTCGTGTGCGACTCATGTGCTCCGGGCTCTCTGGGTCATAGCGCGAAGAAACAAAAGTGGAAATAGAGGCAATCATCAGAGAAATCCGAGCCATCATAGCAAGAGTTCTGGGCATAGGAACAGAGCAAGGATGAGCGACAGCAGTAACCAGCGATGATCCACAACCAAATCGGATTTGCCTGAAGGCGGCCCGGCGTGGATGTCAGCCTCAAGCTTGGTCTCGATTCTCGCTGCTGCTGCCCATTTACGAGGCATCCCTTTACAAGTACTTCTGATTACCCTCAATGTACTGATCACCGTCGTCATCGCCATCGTCGCAAGCATTGCCAGGTCATTGCCATTGACATCATCCTCAGCATCACCATCCCTGTCACCGAGATCGGGAATGATCGGGATCTATTACCATTTCTAACGCTAGAATCATCGTTATTATCGGCCCACTTCACAGAAGACGACTCTACTGAATGGACGTCGACAAGCGGTCACAAAATTTAGCAGTGACATAGCTTCAGCCGCACGTGCTGTGTGGCGCGCTTGCCTACTACAGCGTGACATTGGCTTCAGCCAACTTGTTGTGACTACTCGGCATCTAGAACAGAACGTGGATAGAAACCCGCATGGCATCCCGTGGCACTCAGGAGCAGCTTTTGCAGTGGCCGAGCGGCGAAGTCTATAAGAACACACTACACAAAAGAGTAAAGGAACTGCCCGTTGCAGACTCAACATCGTTCCGCTTGCCAAGCACGGCGCTTCCTCTTGTAGCGACCTTGCGGGCGCACAATGAACCAAAGAAACCGACCCGGAGCATTCTAAGATCCTGGAACCGAACCGGATGGCTATGGGCTCCTGTGGCTACGGCCCTATGACACACACTTTCAAGGAGTGCCTGCTGGCCAGCCGGAGAGGCGCAAGAATCGGCTCTCCTCCTCGCAGAAGTGGCTGTGACCCACTTTGCCGGGACCAAAGAAGACCCAGGGCAGCCTGGTTTTGGCTTCGATCTTTTGAAGGATCTCATTCTGCACCGGGAACTCGATGACCTTGGCCCCTTCCCTTCGCCAGCTCTTTCCGGGCCCTCCTAAAGTCAAAGCGATGCCCTGTGGGCCGAGCACCTTCTTCACAAAATCGTCGTAGCCATCAATCTCCTCCTGCACGTCAACCTGTAACAAGAGGTCTGCTTCGAAGCGCCTGTCCTCCACTACAGCCGCGGCATAGGAAGCCAAGCTTGCAAAAGAGTAGACAGTCAGGTCTTGTGCAAACCAGGCCGAGAACTGAGTAAAGGCACGTTCGGTCTCATCTGCGAAAACGCCATCAACACTGGCGCTGTCCACACAGTAGTCCCACACCTGGATCTTCCGCATTTCGCCACAGAAGACCTTGCTAGAGGCCGCAGACTTGCCAACGTACAAGTGCGTTCGCTCTAGCCGCTTCGGTGGGTGACCCTGCTGTGCAATAGCCAGCTGCCCATCTATGTAGATGCGCATCATTCCAGTCGCGCTGACGGTGAAAAGATAGAGGTGCGGCTGCCCAACCACCCATGCGCCTCCGGCAGCAATCATTTGCACGTCTTCCTCACTGCCTCTCCTGACATTGAACACCAAGGTGCCCGCATCGTTTGGATCCCCGCTTGGGCTCGGAAGCACGTCGACAAAAATGTTGTCCTGCTCCTCGTCATCAAAATTTCCGAAATCGAAGAGGCGAGAGCCACAGGAAGCACTCTCAAACGTCACATAGGCGGAGAAAGAGAACTCGGGCCCCAAGGGAGAAGCGAAGCCCAGCTGGGACAGGTCAATGCCGTCCTCCTCGGCAGAGAACCTGCGACCTTCGCACGCCAAAGCTGGGGAAGCTGTTCGGAGCTCCACAAACACAGCACGACAGGGTTGCACGGCTGCGGCCCTCAGCTTCTCAAGAATTATCCAATCCTGTGCCAGCAGGCCAGGACCCACTGACACGTAGGTCTTGATTCCTTTGGAATCGGGCTGGGCCAGAAGTTGCAAAGACTGCTGTACAACCACTTCCTCGATTGCTGCCCGCACTTCGGGGTACTTCGGCCTGTATGTCGGGTCGTTCACGTCACCGCATTCTCCCAAGGTGCAGATGGGACACGGCACCCCACTCGGCAGCTCAAAGGGAAAAGGCATCTGCCAACCCGAAAAATCGTTCTCGAAGTGCTTGCTGTTGTGGAGGAACATCCGTACCTGGCCACGAATAGGACCGGCACTTCTCCAAGTCGCCAAAGCAACAAAATCTTTGCATCCAGCCTCCCTACGGACCCCGGCGCTCAAGGCAGGCCCTTTGTGCGTCCACCGCCGGCCGCGAGGTGCGCGAATCTCCGGCGGGTCAAGCCATGGGTTCACCGCCTTGCTCAAGGGGTGTGCGCAATCCAGGCCCCCACAAGCATCTGAGGCCTACGGGCCGAGTTGAGGGTGTGTGCGTTATGTTCGGATAATGTTTGCGGTGTAGGTACTGAAGGACTTATGAATCTCACCCACCTCGCCCTGCTCCGAGTACCGCTGCTTCGGGAGTCCGGTGGACCGAGCCCTCCTTGACACGACGCTTCAATTCTCCTGCTTTTCCTTAAACTTCCTTGTCACTGGACTTCAAGATTTCAACCCGAACCGGCCACTCTTTCGTGTGTTCGATTACTACCTGCTGTGGCCACTACCACGACTACTACCCGTATCAGTGCAGGCAGAGCATATAAGAAACACGTGATAGACAGATAAACAGATAGACTTAGATAGATAGACAGACCGATCGACCGATCGATCGATAGGTAGATAGATAGATAGACAGATAGATAGATGGATAGGTAGGTAAGTACATAGACCGATCGATCGATCGGTTGATTGATAGATGGATAGGTAGATAGACAGATAGATAGATAGATAGATAGATAGACACAGATCGATCGATAGATCGATAGATCGACGGACAGATAGATCGATAGATAGATAGATCGACAGACAGACAGACAGACAGATAGAGAATGATATATACATATAGATGTAGATATAGATATAAAAAGATAAATATAGACAAATAGTTATAGACAGGTAGGTTTAAGTAAATACATCATAAAGATAAATAGAAATATAGATAGATAGGTATAGATAAATAGATAGATAGACAGATAGACAGACGGACAGATAGATATAGACACAAATAGACATTCATCAAGACATAGATACACAAATATAGACAGATAGTTATTATAGATAGGTAGATTAAAACAGGTACATTAAGATACATAGGTATATAGAGAGAGATAAGTGGATGGATGGATAGATAGATAGTATAGATAGATAGATAGTATACGTGGTATAGATGTATAGATAGTATAGATAGATAGATAGATAGACAGACAATCAGATAGATAGGTAGATAAATACAGAGTGCGGGCAATCAGGGTCGAGTTTCCCGGGGCGCTGTGGCGCTGCGGGGCGCTCCGGGGCATCTGCGGGGCGCTGTGGGGCGCTGTGGGGCGCTGTGGGCCTGGGGCGGCGCTGTGGGGCGCTGCGGCGCTGCGGGCGCTGTGGGGCGCTG